TTCCATGTGAGGGCTTGTCTCGTGACGCAGTTGGGTGCTTTACGTAGTGTGTGTCCTATCCACTTCCACCGCTTCTTCCTGATTTCCTCATCCACTGGAATCTGACTTGTTCTCTCCCACAGTTCGTTGTTGCTGATGGTGTCTGGCCAACGAATACGAAGTATTTTGCGTAGACAGCTGTTAATAAACACTTGTATCTTCTGGATGATGGCTTTGGTAGTTCTCCATGTTTCCGCTCCAGGCAGTAGAACTGTCTTGACATTTGTATTGAAAATCCTGATTTTGGTTTTGTTTGAAAGTTGTTCGGAGTTCCAGATATTTTTCAACTGTAGAAATGCAGCCCTCGCTTTGCCAATCCGCGCCCTCACATCTGCGTCCGATCCACCTTTCTCGTCAATGATGCTGCCAAGATATGTGAAGGTGTTAACGTCCTCGAAAGCATCTCCATCAAGCGTGATTTGATTGGTGCATGTTGTGTTGCATCGGCTGTATTAAACTTCTGTGATTTTGTCTGCCCCGTTGTCCAGTGTTTCCTTAGCTTCAATCTCATTTTGGCGATCAGCAAGTGGTGATCTGAAGCTATATCAGCTCCTCTCTTGGTTCTCACATCTTCCATGGTCCTTCTGAACTTTTTGTTGATACAGATATGGTCAATTTGGTTTTGCAGTAGTGTTGATCCGGTGAAATCCATGTGGCTTTGTGAATGCGTTTGTGCGGGAATTTGTTGCCACCGATGACCAGTTTGTTGAAGGCACATAGGTTTGCAAATCCTCTCACCGTTTTCGTTTCCATTTCTCCCAGTCCATGTCGGTCCCATGATGTCTTCATATCCAGTGTTGTCCCATTCCAACCTTGCATTCAGGTCTCCCATAAGAATCGTCAAATCCTTTGGTGAACATTTATCGACGATTGACTGCAGCCTTTCGTAGAATTGATCTTTAACGTCGTCATTGTAGTCCATTGGTAGGTGCATAACATTGGATGACGTTCATTGTAATACTCTGTCGATCGTGAGGTTCTGTGGCAGTGTCTGTCATTGAAAGGTGTACCAAATAAGTACATTAACCTTATACAAGCTCTCTACTCAAACACCACTGGTCGAGTGAGAGCTTATGGCGAACTGTCACCGGAATTCTCTACTTCAAGTGGTGTCCGTCAGGGATGTCCACTTTCTCCATTCTTGTTTAATTTTATCATAGACATGCTCCTGGAAATAACCTTATCCTCACCTGAATTTTCTGGAGTAGACCTTTTACCAGGTGGCTCGCTCATTGACTTAGAATATGCCGATGACATAGTCCTACTTGGTGAAAACGCTGACAAAATGCAGAGTCTTCTGACTACCCTAAGCAACAATGCAAGCATGTTTGGGATGCGGTTTTCCCCCTCGAAATGCAAAATGTTGCTTCAAGATTGGGTTGCATCGGCACCTGAACTAGTGATAGGGAGTGAAGTGGTCGAACGTGTAGACCGCTTCACTTATCTTGGGAGTCTCATCAGTGCTGATGGCCTGGTGACTGACGAAATCTCAGCACGGATACAGAAAGCTCGAGTGGCTTTTGCCAACCTGCGTCACTTATGGCGAAGGCGCGATATCCGTTTGCTGACTAAAGGACGAGTGTACTGCGCAGTGGTTCGCTCCGTCTTATTTTATGGCTGTGAAACATGGCCAATGAGATTAGAAGATACTCGTCGGTTATTGGTTTTCGATCATAGGTGTCTTCGAAGCATTGCTCGTATATCGTGGGACACCCGAGTGAGCAACGCTGTTATTAGGAAACGGGTACTAGGTAAGAATGGCAGATCAATAGATGAAGTGGTGAAACTTCATCAGTTGAGGTGGTTGGGACATGTGTTGCGTATGCCTAACCACCGACTGCCTCGTCGAGCTTTGTTTTGTAGTGTAGGAATAGGTTGGAAGAATGTTAGGGGCGGCCAGACCAAAACATGGCAGAAATCCATGAGGTCATTGACGAGTAGACTTAGCCATGTCGGTAATTGTCGACTACCTGGTTGGGGTCCGCGAGATGATAATAATCGATGGCTAGAGACCTTGGATGACATGGCTCAAAATCGTTCGCAATGGCGCCAGTGCATTTATTCTTTGTGTTCTCTCAAATCTTAATCTTCTGGGTTCTTCAACACCTCTAGTTTCGACTCCCTAAACTTTTCTCACTGAATCATACTTCTTGAATAATATCTTCTAATTCTAACCTCTCCGATTACTTCTAATACCTTTACTACCTCTTCTATTATTGGATTTGAATTGACAATTATATCTCTGTGCTGATGTGGTATGGCGACATGAACTGATGTACTTACGTACGAAGTTCTACGTTGCAACTGACTGACTGACTGACTGCTCGTATATCGTGGGACAACCGAGTAAGCAACGCTGTCGTTAGGAAGCGAATACTAGGTAAGGATGGCAGATCAATCGATGAAGTAGTGGAACTTCACCAGTTGAGGTGGTTGGGACATGTGTTATGTATCCGTAACCACCGACTGCCTCGTCGAGCTATATTTTGTGGTGTAGGGATAGGTTGGACGGAAGTTAGGGGCGGGCAGACGAAAACATGGCACAAATCCATAAAGTCACTGACAAGTGGACTGAGTCATATTGGTAGATGTAGGCTACTTGTTTGGGGTCCGCGAGACAAAAGTCACCAATGGTTAGAGACCTTGAACGGCATGGCTCAGAATCGTTTGCAATGGCGCAGGTGCATCCACTCTTTCTGTACTCCCAAATTCTAATCTTTATAATTCCTCGTCATCTCTGTCTTTCTAAACTTATCTTATAAAACTATACTTCTTGAATAATATCTTCGATCCCTAATATTCTCCATTACTGCTAATACTTCTACTATCTCCACCACTATAGGATTTGAACTGACAGTGGCGTCTCTGTACTAATGCGGTATGGCAACCCGAACCGATGTACGTACGTACGAAGTTCTATGTTGTAACTGACTGACTGACTGATGTCACTCTGTCTGAGGTATTTGTATATGGGACCTTCAAGATATTAATACACTTCTCAGGCACACCCTTCATCAACTGACAATCCCAGTCAACAATATTATTAATATCTAACTCTAACAATTAGAATTTCTTTAATACCATTTGATACTCACCTATCAGAGTAGAAACGCACTTCTCTTTCTGCCATAATTTTATTGATTTATCCCAGGAACCACTAATTATGGTTTTGTGATTTCCAACTGCTAAAGTACATACTAGTTGGAGAAATCAATGTATAACATATACACTAGGAACATACCTGCATCTGTATGCCCTTCTAATGTGAAAAGTGCTTCTGGAGACACGAAACTATATCCTCGAATTAGTTTATCATGTGATCCTGTAAGAATATGGCAGTCATTGTCTAACTCTTGACAACACACAGCTGAAACGTAATTCTTATGTCCAAGAAGAACCGTATCTTTACAGCCATCACAACCTTCCCTATAAAAAAAAGTTTACTTTCAGCTAAATTTTCAACATAAGTAAAAAACCTTGAAGAACCAACATAACATTATTTGAAAACTAACAGTTATTACCATTATGGCGCTCAGTAAAATCCAGATAGTAAGTTGATGTGCAAAAGCTGCTACCAATACATTTGAGAGTATCAAGTTGATCAAAAACAAACTTAGAAGTTGATCACTTTGACAAACATTGGTATGAACTTTGCAAACCAAAAGCCACAGGAACATATCCTGATCTTGGTGACTTCCAAAATTGTTGAGTAGTTAGTTTATTGAGTGCATAGTGAGGTCTAGTCAGGCGCTTGAAAAGTTCAACTTTTCGGGGCGAGAATTTCTCACCACTTTGTATTCTACTAGCAAAGTTACTGTGGATTTGTTCGGATCGAGTATACCTAGGCATAGGAGAAATCATCATAGTGAAATCATCTTTAGACAGAAAACCTGTTGTATTGATGCATTTCAAGAAGAGCACCTTAGCCGCTTTTATAATAAGTACTGTTAGACAACGCACGATCCTCTAGAAGAGAAAAGTTTCCTTTTAATTTTGTACTTATCCTAATTGTTTTAAAATACTGTGTTAATTATACTCTTTGTCTACATCATAATATTTCTGTTTCAGTGAGTCAGTCAGCTACTACGTAGAACTTTGTACGTAGGTAAATCAGCTTAAGTTGTCTACTATATCAGCACAGAGTTTGAAATGTCATTTCACTTTGTATGAGATGCTACTGGACCTAAATAAAAGGCAGAATGAATTGATGAAAACATTCCTAAACACATTGTGTGAACAGTGCATACAAATGACCTCATTTAGTTAACCTTACTGCCGATTATACTAATAACAGGAATTCTGTACAAAACTGATTGGCGCGTACTTTGTGGCTGATGGACATAGTAACGGCTATAAATAAAACCTGTATACATACCATATGATAACAAGGACACTTATTGCAATTTTACTAACTCAAACGAAAAAGATGACTAACTTGGAAATATGCCAGGTAATAGCTGTCAGATCTCTTGAAGCGGAAATAACTCGGTTATCCGAAGGGCAAGTAACTGCACGGACGTCACTCTTGTGGCCCGACAAAGTGCATCTTAGTTTGTAAACTTCAACCATATTTTAAACGGTATGCAGTTAGAATTTGTCCTTCACAGCCTCACAGACCTTCCAAATTTATAAAACCTGCAAGGATAAAAAAGCGTCGTAATCAGGAAGAAAATACGTTCGAGGTCCTATGAAGAACTAATAAGTGATATGCAAAACGATTTAAGGACTAGCCCGTTTTGTAGAACATCTGGTCATTACCAAGGTTAACGATCAGTATCGCGAACTATGGGTATGAATCAACAACTATTTACGCTTTGATAAGAACAGCATAGTTATTAGCTGTTTCTTCAAACAAGTCAAGAAGCTATTACCTTAGTAATAAACATTTTGATTTCTGAATATGCAACATAATGTTTGATTAGTGAAAAACTAAGTTACTTTACAGACACTACAGTTGTATTTGATATATGTTTACTCAGCGTCATTTAGAAACCTCAGTAAGTTAGAACTTCACTCTTATCAATACATTACAACTAAAAAGCACTTTTTCGACGAATATGGGTTCTTGTAAACTGTGGGAGGTGGTATCAAATAATGTAAAAATTGAGTAGGTTGTTAGATAGGAGTTTTTTCCTCATATTATCCTTGTCAGACGCTATCATTACCGAGAACAATGGGTGTATGGATAAGTATACTTTAACTTTGTCAGTGTTTGATATGGTTTCACACAGTCGGTTATATTGTCGACGAGACCAGTGTTACAATTCGCGCATTTTCAGAAGGTTATGAACAATGAATCACAAACTCAATGACCTACGGAAATAAAATCGCGCACGTGATCTTAGTGGGTTAACTCGTTCGAATGATTTTCGTAGAATAGAAGAAGCTATCACCCAACGGGGTTCCATATCTAATATCCAATATCTTTTTCAGGAGCAAATATAAACCAACTAATTTTTTCGCCGGATTGTTGTTCTTTCGGTACGGTATCTAGTAGTGTCCAATGGATGGGGGACTAGCCATTCGACTGCACTAATTCTAGTCGGTTAGCAGTTGTTTGTGAGTTTTTATGTCCCATAATTTGAATGCGTACATCTGTTCCAGGAAAATAGGATTTCTGAATGCCAGCAGCTATCGCGTTATCAGGCAGGAGACCAGTTAGTTGCAGAGTAAGAAAGAGTAAGAAAGTAAGGAGAAAAGTCTAATGCGAATAAGAAAGAGATTTCAAAAACAAGTGGAGAAATGGATAATTTAGTTTATTAACTGGTAGTGAAGATTCTGAGAGAGGGTTGAAGTGTAAGCAAGGGTAAGGAAACCGAGATAATCAGCGAGATAGATTAGCTAAGTGATATGAGATGGCAATAGTAACAACTAGAAGATCTCAATACATCCATCAGGAATAGCTGGCGCAAGGTAAACATGATAATCCATATGTGAGCACGTGCTTTTCAAGTCTCTTCTTAAGGCTGCCCACTAGGGTGACTGTGGCCACTTCGGTTTAGACAGCATTCCAAGTTGCAGCAACTTTTAATAAGAGGAAGTATGCACGAACCATAGTGTTAGCTCTTTGATGTGCAATTTTTAGAAGATTACCTCGAAGGGTGTGGTGTTGATACTTCGGTTAGGTGCGCATGTTGGGATAGTTTGGTGTGCTTCATATGTTGTACGCTATTATCATCAGATCACCTCTGATTTTCTTGTAACTCAGGGTGAATAATTACAAGTGCTGGAGCCTATCTTCGTAATTTTTATTCTTTAACCATATCGCTGATTTGTTCAATCCAACAGATTTATGTCTCTTTTAAGGTGCGACGACGTTATGAACCTCAAGGTGTGGGTGCGCCAATGTTTTAAACAACATTAAGGGTAATTCTGGCTTGATAGCACCAAGTTGTCTTCGCATAAAGTGAAGAGTTGCATCAGCCTTGGCTGCATCCCCTGTATAGTACGTACTGGTGTGAAGGCTTTCAGCGGTTATTAAACCGAGATTGCGCTCTGATGAGATATTCCTCAATGGATGTAAGGTGCTTGTGAAACTCAGTCTAATTCTATTCACCTCTAATGGACCTCCAAATCTTTGCGTCGTGTGCGTAGATCAATGTCGTCCAGCTAACTTTGTCTATCAGATCGTTGATGAATATCGGGAAGAGTTGACCCAAGATGGTCCCCCAGCGAATATTGTAACATCCTGGTGACTTTCATGGGCTCAAGTATTTCGATTTTCATAGTACTAAGTCAGGAGTAAGTTGGATGTTCCCTTGGCCATCAGTTGACAATAGGTTTGAGTAGTACTTTGAAATTGCATGTATGTGGATTAACCAGCTGGTGAAGTAGTGTTAAAGACCTCAATCATCTCCAGGTTGGTAAGATCTTCGCCATTCGGACCTTTGAGGGCACAAGCACTCTGATTCGTAGGTTTTCACTCAGTCATGATCCTTCGGATTTGCCTTTAGTTTGGCAGCTGGCTCCTATCACTTCGAACCAAGGAAATGCAGCAGTTTCTCGATGCAAACAAGAACTACGGTAAGAATCCTTCAGAGCGACCTTCTACTTGTACCAGGCTCTCCTTTTCGCATGAAGCGCACGTTCAATGCCTCTCCTAACCCAAGTTTTTCACTTTCCATGTGGGTTGTGTGTCTGAGGTATACTGTTCAGGACGGCATTCTGGATGATGTCTCTCACTGTTTGCTAGTGATCATCTGCTGTTATCCTCCATGGCCATGGGGCATGCAGAAGATTATCCCTCGTATGTGTGTAATTTGCTGAGGTGTAGCAAAATCAGTGCTCGTTTTCGTCCTGCCTGAGTGTTTTGTGTACGACCGTGTAAAACATGATAGAGGTATGGCGACTTCTTTCTGTTTGTGTATCACAAGAAAATCCTCGAACAGGAGCCGATAATTTGTTGAAAAATAAACCAACTTTGAGGACTTTTCATCCTTTGTCCATCCAGTGGCGTAGTATATATGCTCAGTCAGCACAAAACTTCTAATGCCTTCGCCAAGTCGTCTTTGAAACCAACCAGTGGGAATTGTATCCTGTTTGCTGAGATTTAAGGGTGGAGTGTTGAAACCCTCAGGTAAGAGTATTTGATCAAACCCAAGGAGTGGCAGCTGCAGCATTGCTTCAACCGATTTGTTTTTCTGGGCCTTAGCACCTGAGAGGGGCCTGTAGATCTGTTCAGTCAAGTATTTCTTTCCATTTACACTGAAACAATAAAATGATTCTGCCACCTCAGTTAGTTGGATGTTGTGATTTGCAAGCTCACTTCCTCGTCTGCAGTGTCGGCAGATAACCGTGGTTAAGCTAGGATTGTGATCTTCAGATCCATCTGATGGCACATATTCCTGATTTCTAACGGCATACCCCTTAGTTCCCTTACATTAGTATGGAGTGACCTAGGTATACCTAACAAATAAAAGCGAAATACTAGTAAACTCTGTATAAAACTTTTGTGCATCCTCAAATAAATATCAAGTTTCTTCTTGTCCCTCAACTGTCACGACTGACCGAGGACAGCAATTCGAGTCCGAATTATTTCCCCCGTTGACCCGGCTGCTTGGTACGGAACGCATACGTGCTATTGCCCATTACCCAGCTTCAAATGGTTTAGCTGAACGATTTCATCGCCAACTTAAGTTTCTTATTCGAGCTCACGTAAACAACAGTTGGTACGGAACCATACCGCTCGTCCTCTTAGGTATCAGAACGACAGATATTCAGTGTTCCTTCTCTAAATCAGTATACAGCATGACACTGTATCTACTTGGGGAATTTTTCACACCACGTGGCAGTAATAAATTTAGTAAAACAGACTACGTCCAAAGATTGTCTGAATTCATACGAACACTGACTTGGGTGTCGATTCGAATACATCATCATCATGTCGCCCTCCCTCGAGAGTAATCTACCTGTTCACATGTTTTCATTCGAGCCTATTCGGTACGCAATTCTTTGTAACAGCCTTACGAAAGTCCTGTTCACGTGATTTCCCATCATGAAAAGAGCAAGTTTGATCAACACGGTCGCGTCTCAAGCCAAGACACGTCGATGATAGTGCCTTCTCTGGTAATTTGAGACCCAATGCTAGACCAACCAAACCTACTAGTGAGATCCCTAATTCTACTTCTGACCGCATGTTAGATATACGAGAGAGGCCACGCCGTCCTCGACTTCTGATGAGTCTGCAGTCCTTCGAGGTACATGCGGGACTACCGTCTTACTTTTCAGTCGCAGAGTTAGCCAACCTGTATGCTTTCGCGACTAACCTCTCAATCAACGAAGGATACGGTGTAAAACTCAATCCCCATACCACATGAATGCTATACCTTTCTCTTTTTTTTTGATTTTTTATCCTGATCCCACGCTCCATGTTACTGTTGACTTCAGTCAATCTTGGCGAAAGGTGGCCTGATCACCCAACTTTTGTCAATGCATTCAGTCGATGTTCTGGTTCCGAATATATCCGATATATGTATGGTTTCGAACTTGGTCGTTATGGTCGTTTCCTACTCCTTCCTTCGATCTGTTTCCGTCCTAGGTCAGCAGCATTTTCTAGTCCGAATCACTACGAACGCAATCATCAGATTATGGATACAAACCACTCTGTTATGGTATGCAACAAATACGGCACGTTAATTCTGGTACTGTTCTACGTAAAAGACCTTCGGTGTCAACTGGAGCATCAACCCTTACGTCCTACAACCGCAAGTCTGCTGACAAGTCGCGCGAAAGAAGCCGCTACGTGTCGAAAGTGCATTCGCTTTCTAGCTGGGGGCTCCTGAAATGCTCTCCTTTTGTGAAATGAACGAAACTGTTGTAATGGAAACATTTATTACTACAACCAATTTTACCAGCAATTGTTTAACTGTACCTTATTGCTTAAATATACCAAAAATACTCATTTTCCGTTTTCTGGGACCTTGACCTTGCTGACGTATGCACGGTAGTCTCGTCTGTACACTTTCTCACGACCTTAGTATTATCTCGATAACACGAGATCGCCAACAGATATAATCTAACTACGGTATCCAACTGTCCCTCTAATATTTATTCTAAGGGGAGATTTAACCTGGTAATAGGCACGTAATTAGCCTGTGGTGGTGATCATAGTCAACCTCGACTTGACACACCACAACATTCTGACTGTAAACTTCTCTCCAAAGTTTGACTCCGTTAATGATAATCACTAACTCAGGCCGCACTTGTTGAGGATCTTAATTAACAAAATGCAGGAAAAAGTGTGGTCCCAGTACTGAACCCTGAAAAATTCCATCTGGGAACCCCGAAACCCGAGGACAATTCAAGTTAAGTCTTAACCTAATGGGTGAGTTATTTATAAATGATTTTAACCAGACTGTTAAAAGTGTCATGGCACCTAACATTTTGAGCTTAATAATGAGACGTATATAATTGACCAAATACTAAGCTTTCGAGAAGTCAGAATGCCACGCATTAACATTCTATTTTTGATCAAGAGAGGGAATTCGACAGCAAGATTAATACTGTCCTTTCAATTGTCAGTGACTGTGGTGAAGACACAAATCGGCCATGCGAACCGAAGTAGGTCAATGGAACGAACATGCTACAGGTCGTGAAGCAGGTGAATAACTTCGTGGCGATTCGGGTAGTGCAATTGCTACCATTAAAGTTTGGTGCTAAACTAACCAGGTGAGGCCAACTATATGCCTGACCTAGACAAATTCCCAATACCTTGGGAAACGAATAATCCCGTTACACGTTGCTATGAATGAAACGAGGTCTCTAATTAGTTGCTCCAGGTCGGCAGCAAACAATTTTATCCGTTAAATGACTTGCTGATTTGGATACTTGTTAAAATAACAAACAGCTAGCAGCCAGCAAAGATTTGCCAGTAAATATCTGATTACAGTTTTTAGCTGCTTTTAACTCTTCACTGTTTTCACACACAGACGGAAGATCTTCCGTTCTCATTCACTTGATAAATCCTAATCCTTTAGCTTTTAGCCCACGACCCAAAGTTTTATCTTGCTGCCCTATCCACCAAAGTCATTTCTGATGTTTGGTATCGCCACTGTTCCTATTGACCTAATATGTTCTGCAGGCTATTCCATTGCTGCACAACAAGCACACTACGCACAATAATCTTTCGAACTTCCAAATAACAATACATTTGTCCATGCACAACTTAATCTCTTTTTCTCTTTAACACCCAAAAAGCGTGAATAAGACAGTCAGTTTACCGAATTCAAAAAGTTCATTTTAGCGCCAGTCTCTGGAAATACCAGCGATATTATCTGAGGCGTAGGACGAAGTGATGTGTCCTATATGTATTCGCTAGTGTATCACGTCCGTGCTGAAGAAAACTTGCTGTAAAATGTGTGGCACCACTCTCCTTGAACGATCGTAAACAATTTTTGACAAAAAGGTTGACGTCTGCCTTCTGCTAAAATATTCTATCTCCTCGGTGCTAGTACAAGAGAGTAGTAGTTGTCAGTCTCTGTCCTTTTCCCAAACTGATGCATGCAATGGCATTCCTTCTATAACCACTGGCTTGCAATTTAAAGCTGATGTGACCACCATAGAATGACTCTAACCGCTGAAAATTGGATCTACAAAATTAACCAATATACCAACAAGAGCACCATAAGATTTGGGAAGGGCGTTAAAAAGTTTCTCCTGGTCATGGGATTCGTTCCTCATCAACAGCGGTGACACTAAACTTAAGATGTTACGAAATAGTATGTGCCGCGAGCGGACTCGAACTCGAAAAATTGAAGCCGATCAAAATTTAATAACACAGTGCATAATCGTAATTGGTTGGTTCTGTAAGTCATGCTGAAAATGTAGGAAATGAATGATTTGAATTTTTATGAAATAAAGAAATTCAACGGTAACAATGGACCAAATCCTCTGATAATGCCAAAACGTAAGGCCTCGAATTCCGGTCCATATGAGAGTAAATACTCTTAAGATAGACCTTCTTTACTAACATAAAAGTCTAATACCTTGCAGAAGTTGATCAGTTTCGTATTATTTCTAACTGACTTACGAACAAGTACCAATAAATGGGCATTTTCGGCAACTGTAAAATCCCTCGTCGTAAAATGTCTTTTATGACTTCCCTACATTTTGTCCAAAATACATATTGTATTTTGAGCCAAATTTTTATAAACTCTAGCCTAACGGTTGATATTCAGCATGTTTTACATTCCAAATTCTCACGATACTCTAAGGATGATAAACCACTCCATAGACGCATATATAGCAGAGCCGTCTGTAGATGGGGTTATTTCATCCGGATTCCCAATTATCTAGCAAAATTATCAGCAAAATATCGCTGATATGAGGAGTTTTACAACCCTTTTGAGTAAAAATTTACTGTTTAAGAATATCAAAGCCCACTCAAGCTAAATGTCTGGGATAAAGGGGCTTGAAAATATATTTGTGAGGTAGTGGATTCGAGAGGATGCGCTGTAAGGCGTAACCAACATTGATCTGGTGTATATGTATTAGCAAGCGCCTTCAACTAGATTACATTAACTTTTGCAAATAAGGTCAGTGTCAATGCGGATGAGTTTCAGATCTATTTGTTTTAGGGGTTTATTTGCTACCACATCGATAATATTTGCTTTATATCTTGCCGAGACTGTTCACGAACAAATATCGCTGTGCATGTAGGTTGATGGGCTATGGGAGAAAATGTTCTTAACAAATATGTCTTTCTTTTCGGAAGACAGGTTGGAGATGTAATGCAATAAGTATGTATTTTTATAATTACAGTGGTGACTTCGAGAGCACAAAATGAAAGCAGATATTGGGATGACTGTGGGCTAGAAGCGGATGACGATTTATTTGCTTACATCAGTAGACTTGAGCTGTTCGATGAAATAGTACACTGTTAAAGTTAAATTGGCTCCTTACAAAAATACTGGTGAACGAAGTCTGATGATGTCTGGAGGCCCACATATCTATTAACTTACAATATGTAGGAAAGACATTTTCTACGCTGTATGGTAATGATGCTTCCGGATTAGTAATAGTGGTCTTATACTGATAGAGTTATAATTTCAGTGATACATACCTAATGTTTACGAACTAAGTTTTATGGAAGTTTCAACACCATAAGTTACTCACATAAAGTCACAGGAAGTTTACGGAGTTTCTGTGTCCTGGAAAGTGAATTAATTATTAGAAAACATAAAACTGACAATATTTTAATATCGGCCAGCTAATATTAAGGGTATTGTGATAGAAGTGGTGTTTTAGAGATTTTTGTTTAAATATATCATTTAGTGTTGAACTGATCAGCGGCGTTAATTTCTCACAAGGTCCCCAGCGGGCGTTGTGATTGTAGTTCATTATTGGTCATTATAGTTGTTGTTGTCCTTTTATAAGCATTGATTCTTTAATACGTGAAAAAGATTTTGAGCCATGTGTTTCAGCCAAACGTAAAGTACTTTCATAATGCTCTTACGTGTTAATATTTTGGGGAACTTTATGTAAGATATGAAAAGTACTAGACAGTTTGTTTTTGATGGATTACCAGTGGAAAGCACTTCAAAAGCACATACAGGTTCCTCAGAAGACAGGATTATTGTTGATTCTAACGATCCAAAGATTGTCAACAGCAAAAGTTCAAGGGTGTTTTCTGAGGTAAGCAAATATACGGTTTTTAATATTTTGAAGAATATATTTTACGGTCCTTCCTATTGTACAACTCTGCATTGGTGGTGGAGGTTAAAGTTTTCGCGTTTTGAGGAGTTCGTCTACTCGCATCATTGGAAGGTGCTCAGTTCCGTAGTAGTACTTAGCCTTTTTTGTTTTGGCTTGAAAGCCGTTACCGTCGATACCGATTTCGACAGGTTATGGATCGAGGGTAAGTCATTTTATGTTGCATGACTCTTTGGTTATTTCGCTTACTATGTTTCTTTTGACGTATTTCAACTTATCAAATAATTTCGCTACCAGTTTTTGTGTTTGTATCTGGAGTCTGATTTCTTGTGTTAAGATGTAGAATATGAGTGTGTTTAATTAAGATATCTTTTGTGAGGTTTGAACTAAAATACCATAAACTTTACGTCTATGAATTGTCTTGATCATAAACTCCGCTAAAAACATCGGAACTATGATTAAAAAGTCATAAATTGTTGGTGCATAGCTGCTATTTAGTTATCAGTTACTCATAAGTTTCTTTACATGTTCGAGCTATGATATGTAGGGAAAACTTAGCTAAATCATATCTCTTCTGAATTCAAAAGCGATATACGACCATGATGAAAACACGCATTCTCTAAAAACCTATGGGACAAAATATTGGAGACTAAGGAATAGAGTAAAGAATGGTAATCGCTGGAGGGCATCAGAAGAAGGATTTTTCATCAGAAGTTAGATTACTGTCAAAATTCTTTTGGATCCACCTTATCTAATTAGTTAATCTTAATGACTATCGAGAACTAACAAGAAGTCTAAGAGGAGGTCTTCTAACTTTTAATGTTCCACCACCAAGTGGATTAAAGTTCTGAATTCTAATAGTAAATAAGGTTTTCTAAAGAATGATATTTTGACTAACTTTCAATTAGTGAGTGGCTAGCTTTCTCCTGTTAACCTACATTGTTGGCCGTATTTCAGGGTTTATGATGAGAGAGTCGGATTGATGGTCGACCATACTTTGACGAAGATACAAAACATGCACCTGCAAAATATCCATTCTACTTGTATACATGATACATCACAGATTCACTACTTTGCAACTGACCTAAAAGTAGAAAACATTAGACGATGCTTTCTTTGTAAAACTTTGTGAACTACAGTTTTTTCCTAACTAAAAATACACATTAATGGATCACTTGAGCTGACGTTAAAACCATAACGTAATAATGTTTGGTTATGATGATTTTAAGTTTATTTATCCACGTTTGACATACCATCTCCAATGTTGGACTATTGATAAAACTTTTGTTATGGTACTGTATTTTCCTTACTACTATCTGTACACCTGTCTTCTTACTATTACTATTATGTGTAGTGACATAATCTATTTCATTGTGATTGGTTTAAAATTTTCATATAAATATTCATTTATATTAGAGAAAAGCCTGATGAAGATCTAATCGAAAACAATATTGTTCGCTTAAACATGTTCTAACTACACCATATCCAGATTGTTTTGGCTTAGGTTTGCTGAAGTGATGAATCTTCATCAGTTGAAATGGTTGGGACCTGTGTTACGTATGCCCGACAACCTACTGCCTAGACGAGCGATGTTTTGCAATGTAGGAATAGGTTGGACAAAAGCTAGACCAAAGCATGACATAATGCATGAAGTCAGTGACAAGTGGACTGAGTCATGTCGGTAGGTGTCGACTACCTGGTTAGAGACCTTGAATGACATGGCTCAAAATCGTTTGCAATGGCATCCACTCTTTGTGTTGTCTCAAATTCTTACCTTCTGAATTCTTCATCACCTTTATCTTTTTATTTTTAAGTTTATTTCACTGAATTGTACTTGTTGAATAATATCTTGGAACCCTAATCTCTCCGACTACTGTTAATGCTTTTACTAAATTTACTACTTTGGGATTTGAATCGACAATTTCATCTCTGTGCTAATGTGGTATTGCAACTTCAACTGATGTACTTAGGTACGAAGTTCCACGTTGTAACTGACTGACTGATTAACTGTGATTCTGGACGACGTTTAGTTTCAGTCAATTAAACCCACCTAAATATAATGTCGAAGTCTTTATTTGTAGATTATTGTTGTACCATTTCATCCTCACAGAGAAATTTAGAAAATTTACCTTACAGCTTTGTTATATTTTCTATTTGAAGACCCTTTTGATACAAAAACAAATTAATATATTAACAATCTATCTATTCATGATTGTCCCCCTACTTATTTAAATCTCGAGAATTTTTTTATTCTCTTATAGGGTCTCTAGTGTTCCTTATTTTTATGCGGATTATTTTCAGTGTTAACACTAAAATCTGTATGTATAATGTGCTATGCTTGGTCGCAAGTTTCATGCTACCTTCGTAAATATTTTGGTGTTGTGTCCCTATAATAAGTATCCAATGTTTAGAATAGGCAAATAGTGGTCTCGTCTTTCCTATGGCTTTCTGAAAACCATCAATTCAGTTTTAGCACGTTTCAGGTTTGGTTGAGTGAGTTGTAGTTTCAATGATGTGTGCATATAGTCTTTTCATTCTGTACGTTTCACGCGGTCCCTAATTAACAGTAATCGTCTCTCCTATTGAAACGTATAACCGACTAATATAGCTTTGCATTTTAATTCTAAATTTAATTATTTGGTTAAATAAAATAAGGTTATCACGTTTCGTCTAAAGTTAAAATGCCAAATGCAATTTATTTTGTACTATTTGAGTCACTAGAACGGTTCCATTTCTCTAGGATTCTCATTTTTTAGACTGGAATAAGTCAATTAGTCAAAATGAAGAAATGTCAAATACATCGGATATAAGACCTAAAACCTACAACAAAACCCTACTTTCAGTGTGTAGTATTAAAAAATTAGTTTAGTCATTGTACTTTCAACTGTTGAATCAGACAAGCAAATTTTGTTGTCATCCGTGCTTAGTGGATCAACCAAATGAGCATTACTAATATATTTGGAAATAAATCTCTTACCGTGGTTGTTAAACTCCATCCCTTAAGGTAAATAGAACATGTGTTATAGATGCTCGGTCTTGGTGTTTATTGATATCGTATTCTTGTTTTGTGCAGAAATTGATTGGGAATTGATTCATCAAAACTATTTGAATAGCTTGAAAAGATCATATCTATGTACATACATTCATTATGTACCATGATCAAAGTTTTTAACTGAGTACCGTTCCAAACAGTTCATTCCCCAAATTCACCCCTTTTTTCTGATTTTTCCTTCTCATTATTAGTTATTTATTATCATTGGCACTAGCATTTTAATCTTTTTTTTCTTGTTTTATCGCTGTGCTGATGTGTAACATAATGCAATACAAAAATTATTTCAGAGTATATGCAAATAAAACAATCAGCTTGATAGAGACATTATGGTTCATGAACTCGACTTCAAACCAAATTTATTCTGTAATATTTCCCGGTTATTAAAAAGGAAGTGTGTAAATGAGGTTTCGATGATTCTCCTCTGTGTTTAGAGGTCACCTCTTTGTTTTGTTAAAAAATATCTAGTTAAAGCATCTTATTCACTGTTATTAATCTCTATGCTTCTGATTTTTCACTTTTGAAAGTACTTATAGTTTAGTTCACTTTCCTTATTCAATTACTAGTTAAGGATAACAGTATTTCTCTCGTATCTCGTGAAATAGTGTAGATATTTTAGTCGAGCAGGAGTTTCCAATGCCATAATTTACGATCATCACAATACAAAATTATGTATATAAAATCTTTGGTTACCTTGTTTTTTTTCTTTTCTTAGAATGTGTTCAAGTTGTTTTCTTTTGCACAAAGTTACTGAAATGTCGTTCATATACAATAAATAGAATAGCTCATCAGATTTTTCAACTAGTGGTGATTAATTAGTTAGACAGTAAATCTGTTGTGGTTCTTGTAAGCGTTTCCTGATGTCGGAATTACTGACTGAACTGCACTCTTACCAGTGAAATCCACAAATATCCGACATTTATTTGTTCTTTAAAAGGAGGGAGTAATAAAAAACTCTAATATGTTTCATAAAATAGTACATCTATCATGCTGACAAGTTTGCTTAATCATGTTGTAATTAATAGGAAGATCTGCCAAGTGGTAATTAGTCAGTTATAGTCACTACCGAACCTGGTCCACTTGTTTATAGGTTTAATTCGTGACATCTCGCGTTAGTACAGGGAAGTACGAAATTTCCATGAGAAACAAAGGTTTCAGAAGCTATGTATTACAACGAGAAGTTAAAAATCAAAGTAAGGATATAAACCAAAGAAATGTTTCATGTTTAAGGTCACCTTTCTTTAAGTAAATATTTTACAAACAGAACGAGATGATTGTTACAATACATGGTTGAAAAATGTAATGATTTGGATTAGTTATTACTCGTGGTTGTCTTTTTGTCCGAAATTAGTCCTAGATTGTTTTTTGTTATCAGTTACAGTTATGAGTCAGACGTTCCATTGATGTTTACATTAGGTAAAGAAAATATTTAATAATGGTCTTTTGGCTTTATCGTTTTTAAGATGGATATTTTTTATGGATTCGTTTTATTTTCATGTTTTATAAAACAGGATTATAAAGTTGCACATACTCTTAGTTCTATTCACATCAAATACAAAACATATTATGCCTGTTTTGGATGCTTAGTTTCCTGCATATGATTAGATTTAACTGATTTTCAGTGTCTGAAAAGTAATTCATTTGTTTTATGCGTGCAGAATCTGTGCCCGTATTTTATCACCTACTTATACCAATCAATATTTTTTTAAATGGACGTGACTATTTTCATTACTAGGTTTTGTGTTTCCTTGCCGTGAAATGCTGTTGTACACTTTTCTACTGTTACAAACGTTAATTTGTTTTAACAAATAGCTAAAATCTCTTGAATTCGTAAAATTGTTGATTGACTAAGATTATTTGCTTGTTTTGAATAGATTTGTATATACCTTAGGATTAAGTTTCATTCGACCACCCAACATGTAACTAAGCTCTAAACAACCATTCATTACAGATCTGCCCTTCACATTTACACAAAACTAGTGGGTGTATTATTGGCCTTATGTTGTATGTTAGTATGCATTATATATATATATATATATATATATATATATATATATGTATATATATATATATATATATATACATGTTCGCGAATTGCTCCTCAAGGTCAGAAGGCTAGCTGAGATTGCGGGTGGCCTCCCTATTTTGTGTTTGTACTGTTCTTATAGAGGACCTAGTCATCTGTTGTCTTGATTTATATCCTGTGTTTAAAATGTACATGGAGTGTAAGGTTTTACATTTTCCATATGTGACCAAAAATTATGTGCTAAACTGCTTAGTCATTTTTTATTTTACTGTTACTAGTCTAAAAGATTTCCATGTTATAATGTTCGGTTTGTGCTTATTCGAGATGATATATATATATATACATACATATATATATATATATATATATATATATATATATATATATATATATATATAATGACGGAAATACATAAAGATGGATCAGTAATGAGATAATTTAGAGCCATCATTTCACACATTTCAAGGTTACAGTAGTAGAACGAAAGTGCTGATTGTCACATTGCACATGTGAATTGTCAGATGAACGTAAATCAGCGATGATTAACTGTTTTCCTGAAAAAACCCACAACCGATCTTTTCCTAATAAGTGATTACTTTTACCTTATTTCTTAGTTTCATGACTCAGTAATATATTGAATAATACTTTTGTACGATTTCCTCTCATTACGTATCGTCACACAAATTACTAAATTAGTAGCTACAAGGCAACATCACTCATAAGCTTGATACTACATAGTATGTAAAAAAACTTTTGTGATCATTTATATGCAGGTTCACATTAGAGTAACTATATGTTTACCGTTGTTATGTCGAATCTACAACAAAGTTATCCTAATGTGCTTCTTCTATCAGTCAACTTATGTAAATGAATTCATTTGTTCCTCTACAAACACAGTATGCTAAAGGCCTTTCAATTGAAAATAGGTTGAAAATAGTTACCAATATGTTCATATTATCAAATATGAATATAATGATTTGATGTATTGCAATACTATTCATATTTATTGGTTTTTTGCACTCTTCTTCGAAATGTAAGTTTAGCTAATTGGTGTATGGTGGTATTATTTTCATACATTAACAATTCTCACACTAGATCAATTTGTATTTTTACAACTAAAGAAATTACAAGTTTTTTTTTACTCTAAAAGCAAAAATAGTTTTATCCTCGATTTAGTTGGTTAACTAGAGGTAGTATCCGTTAAAAATAAGCATAGTGATGATGATTAGCAAAGATTTTTTTGATTTGTAAATTTTTGAAATGTCACGCCTCACTTATGTAAGGTGAAAGATGCCTTCATTTTATTAGTGCATTCACATGTGTGTGCATTGACTAATCCTTTTTTTTGTAATTATATTATTATAAGGACTGTTTTTACATCATTTCTAAATTTACTACTAGTAACTAATATTACAACAAATTGTAGAAATGCAAAGTTTTCTTTTTTTTTGTTTTAATACAAAAGACAAAACCTACCACACATAGAGTAGGTTCAAAATCATGGCGCCATTGAATGTAGTATTTCACGAAATAAACATTTCTTAGTCTTTTTTAGCCTTATGAAATTTTCTTATTTCATGATAAGAATTATTTAGTATTGAGGACAGGATTGGCGCCAATAAGCTATACATACATAGATAACCTTACACACACGTATTTCTGCTTGCCACAGGTTTAGTGATCTTTAAAAGTGTTTATGTATAAAACTACCTTTATATATATGTCAAGTAATAATGTATGAAATTTTAGTGCTAAGATCAACCGTAATCATATAATTCGTAGATGGTGGCACCATTTATTAGTTTGTCACAAGAATGGAACCGCCTATTACTATTATGATTATGATTATTACTGTTACTACTACTATATTGGAATTTAACGTTTGATCCTTCATTAGTCTACGTAGATGTATATCTACGGCGAAGATTTAAATATCTGGCTTAATATAAGTTTCTTGAAAAAATCTTTAGCATATTTTATGGATAACAATATCCTCAGCACCATCAATCTGTTTATTTTTAATAAAAATAAACTGTATTTTGAAAAATTTAGTGTGAAATTTCCACTGGAATGTTTACTTTGAAACAATTTCACAGTATTTTAGTTCTTTAACAGTTATACTTTCCAAAAATCTAACTTAACTTATAAGCTTATATCTTTAACTGAAGTGAAAGCAATGAAGTACGATCAATGTACTGTTGTTTTTGCCTTATTCAAACAAAGTGTCGTTTATGCACAATCAGAGTTTATTTTACAAAGTTATTTCCTTTCGTCTATGCTTCTTTAGCTGTACACCTGAATACTTTTTTGTTTGTTTACAAATGGTTGGTCGTATTGATTAATGTTTTCTTTTAAACCCTTCATTATACTTAATTCCTATGCTGAATCAATATTGTTTATCTTTTCAGTACTTTTTTTTCCTACGAACATGGTTATTTTATACATTTTATTTTATTCTTCATCTTTTTCTCGTGAAATATTAAAGTTATGACTATGCTTAGAAGAACAGTTACTTTACTGTTGGCTTAGTTATTTTGGATTCTTCGTTGTTCTGTTTTTGTTTTTATCACCAAGCATACATGCACAGGATTTATTAAAAACATGTTATCATCCATTATCAATAACCTGTCCATCTTGTTTTATTTTCATATTGCTATTATTAAGTATCACTGGCTGAAGTCTAACATTTGAACTCCAAATTTCAGACTTGAACGAACGACACTCCATTTTCCTCACAATGACTTTCATTTTTCCATCAGTAGCTACTTGATGGTTCAGTGTGTTTATTGATAAACTTAACACACTAAGCTGCATCATAATTTTACTTTTAGCCGTATAAGTTCTCTCGCTAAAGATCGATATCTCTTATTTTTTCATTATATGTATCTGATAAAGTACGAGTGAAGCTTCGTGGTTGTACAGTATTAGTGTGTTTTAGGCTTGCATAATTTGTATGGTAGGCTTATATCTTATAAATACAGAATACTAACCTGAATGAATTATACTTCTAATATGAAAGGTTGACGTAATATAAAGTGTTTTACATTTTTAAACATATTTTACTAGTACTACTACTTGACTGTTTGACTGCGAGTAGATAGTAGTATGGTCTGTAATGCATGATTGTCCCTACAGAGATACCTGAATTGTTATATTCATTCGACCTTATTTAACCAAAATAAATGGGTGATATAGGCTATATAGTTGTATTCATCAAGCCCCTTATTTAATACCTTTCACAATATAATAGTCTTAAAGTGCTTTATCTCAAATAGTGAACTGTATTGTGTATAAACCATAAATATGGATTCTGTCTAATAACTATACTTATTAATTTTTTCTCTATGTTGTAAACTGGTTATTTTAGTTCGATGCTCACTTTTATTGGTCTTAAAATATTTGTTATGAACTAAATTACACCGTATCCTTTATGTATTTTATTACAGAAAGTGATCGTCTTACTGCTGAATGGAAGTATTTAACTAAAGCATTACAGAATGTTCACACTGAAACATTATATGGTGATCTGTATTATTTTTCAAGAGATACTAAATTGTCTAGAATGGCATATCATTCTCAAAGAGATGAAATGGTAGAAAAAGAGACTGATATATTCTCTCTACCATCAGCTGTGTCCAAATCTAAAACTGAAACAGATTCATCCTTAAATAGTCGTGAATTTATGGGTAGTATGGAGACAATATTACAAACAACTATACCATATACTAGCAGTCAATCATTTTCTGAACAGATTAAATCATTAAATCATATCTATTCAAATAATATCAGTGATAACAGTAACACTGACAATGATAATTATGCTGATATCCTGACTCCTCAAGCTTTATTAGATCACATGGAGTTTTTGATCAAAGTAAGACGACTGACAATCACAGTTGGTTCATCAAAATGGTCTTTTAAAGATTTATGCCAACGTGTTAGCCTACCGTTTGGTGTTGAAATGCACCACTTACAAGTATGTTTTGTCTGGTATATTGAGTAGTTTTTATAATTATATGTCTGTCATATTCCTCTGTAATTAAATCAACCCAGTGGCGTTGAGGTGCTCAACTTTCGATTTCAGTGTTATGTGCTTCAATTCAGATGTTCGAACAGTTAGTCAGTATTATTGGCTACCTATACACAGTATATATGACATATGGTCTAGCACATACACATATGCTTTTACCGAATTCAGAATAAATCATTTCAAATAGTACTAGTGGCTTGACTATTTTACATATATGTTCATAAACTGAGAATTTTATTTAAATGAGTAGTATAGTAGTAGAATTTTATACAATCGGATCGTCGTAAATGAAAGTACGCGTGTTTACGTAGATTCTCTTTTACTCAATATCTGGAAATTTTGAGTATTAACCTATATAGCCCTAGTTACTCGGAATTCAGAATCCTCTTTCAGTTATGTAATATTATTGTACATCAGATTACACATATATTTAATTGTTTAAGCCTTCTTGTTGTTGATATTAAAGATTGTATTCGAAGAGATTCGAATCTTAGTGTAAAAATTAACACTGGGATGCACGTGCACCCACCTGATGAATCTCCAGTGGGACGAAATGTGTGTTGTGGATTTCGGGGCTAGCTTCAATCCAACGTTTCTGAAAATGTGATTGGATATTATTTTCTAAATAATTCAACTCTTTACTGGGGAATATTAATATGTTCAAATGAATAAGTGTTTGCAGGAAAATATAATTTATCAAAATCTATCCTAACATCCTTATCTTATGTAATAATACGTGGTGTAATTTAAAGTAAGACGGATATTCCATTTTAGTAAACGATTCATCAGGAAAGTTGGTCTTACTATAGCCTTGAGCATTTAACTCTTAATTTTGTTCAGAGTTTCGGGGATCGCTTTTTATCAGTTTTTGTTTTCGTAAAATTAACCGCCTGTGTAATACAATATTAAAAACTGTTCACTGTATATAATTAAACTGTGTTCTTCACTATTTATTAGGCTTATCTGGACATGATTATACCGTGCATTATTATCACGCCGTTAGATTGTTTTTGGGAAGGTGCTAAAGTCCTTGGTCCTGAGGAAGCAATGTGGGTTCCTTGGTAAGTATTGTGATATTATCTTTGTTTTTACGTTGCTGACTTAATTTTAATGATAGTTTCGACGTTCCTCCAATTTTTTTATTTTGATAAACTTTCGTTGGCGACACTCAAAACGTTTTACCACAAATCGATTTTATTTCTAACCACTTGTTGACAAAAAAGTGATTTTGCAGTATTGTTTCTCCTTAGTGTAATATTCATTAACAGTTTACACTCACCATGTTTTCAGAAATTCGATCACAATCTCCTGGGGTGTATGACACTCGAAATCAATGATCAATTCGTGTTTTTGATATTATTCGACTTTTTATTAACTACTTGTACATGTATTGTTGTTACTATAGGACCGGAGCATTAACACTGTAACTTGAGCCTTGAATCTAACAGTTTTCGTTTAACATATATATATATATATATATATATATATATATATATATATATATATATATATACTCATCTACTTAATTTGTGTTGATATTGTAGATCATGAACAAAACTGTGTATAACATCTGTTTGCTATCGCATAGCATACCAGATGGTTGTATCATTAAAGATTTTCCTTTCATGTTGTATTTTATACAATTTACTCATGATAATCATTTGCTAATTCTTATTTGTTAATATTTCGGTTATAAATATCAGATATTTATGGTGATGTACATTTTCACAGGTGCTTAAATACCTTAAATTCTTGTTAATTTAAACGCTTATTTCATTTAACACAATGTAGTTCTACTTTTGACTTTTATATTACACACATACATACATACTATATTTATGCAGAATAGATTTATGCAAATCGACCATCAAAACTACCAGTTGCTTGTTTCGCCCAAATACATATATGTCATATAGATAACCTTATTATTAACTTACGCATTAAAAGATATAGGTCTGCAGTTTAGTTGTTTATTCTGTTCATTTGTCATGTGTAGACAGTGTATAAGAACCAACGTTTAACGTCGTTGTTTTGTCACAATCAAATCCTTTCTACACCTCCTCGACCAACCCTTCTTTCGTTCGTTTGTCAACTCGCGCCGCCGAAGCAAACGGCTTGAGCTCACGAAAAATTATTTCTGGTCTCTTGAAACCCTGTACTAAATTACATATTGGAGCTTTTAATGTTCGAACCCTATGCCGAATAGGTCAACAGGCTTCAGTAGCTAGAACTCTGGAATCCCATACGATCAATATATGTTTGATCTCTGAAACACATACGAGATCCGAGTAAAATGATCCATTTGATTTCACCTAATGCTGATAGAGAAAACGCACGGTTTATGCTTGGTGTTTCAGGTAGCTCTGAGGCTGCTTCCCGCGGCCTCGTCGGCGTGGGTATAGTATTAGGTCGTACGTCAGAACTAGCACTCTTAGACTGGATCCCAATAGACAGTCGCTTATGTGCTGTCTGGCTAAACGGGACGGTATGGAATCGAAGGATAGGGACACTCGCCGTTGCCTCTTCGTCGTATCTGCCTACGTTTCCACTGACTGCAGTTCAGACAACATGAAAGATAAGTTTTATAGAAACCTCTCTAAACTTCTCCAAAAGGTTGAGCGCTCCGATATAGTAATAATTCAGACTCATCAAGGAAACCGGTATTAGAAACCGATCTGTTAGTGAAACTATCGCAGAAAAGGACGGGATTATCAATCATTCTCAATCCAGGAGGTTGGATCGATGGGCAGAACACTTCAGGGATCAGTTCAACTGGCCTTCAGCCACACTTTGTTTACCCACGATCTCCAGTCATCCTGAATGGGAAAAAGACATAAGTCCTCCAAATCTTTATGAAGTTAAGAAAGTGATAGGAAATCTGAAGCGAGGGAGAGCTGCGGGTCCTGATAGAATGATTCCTGAGATTTTTAAGGATGGCGGTCCATTTTTAGCAGTTAGATAGACCAAAATCTTAGGTAGGATCTGGGAACTAGACGTAATCCCATCTGACTGGTCTCAATCGCTGATTGTCCTAATTTACAAGAAAGGACAAAAGTCTTCTTGTGACAATCACAGGGGAATAAGTCTAACTAATATAGTATCTAAAATATTGGCCTCAATAATACTTCGACGCTTAACGAAAGCTCGTGAAGTGCATACTAGAGAAAACCAGGCTGGTTTTCGACCTGGACGTAGTTGTATAGACCACATCTTCACACTACGACAGGTCATGGAACACAGACACATAGGTGTCCGACAATAGTTGTCTTCCTGGACCTTAAGGCGGCATTTGACTCAGTGGATCGTGAGGTTCTGTGTCAGTGTCTGTCATTGAACTGTGTACCAAAGCAGTACATTAACTTCATACAAGCTCTCTACTCGAACACTACAGGTCGAGTGAGAGCCTATGGCGAACTGTCACCGGAATTCTCTACTTCAAGTGGCGTCCGTCAGGGCTGTCCACTTTCTCCATTCTTGTTTAATTTTGTCATAGACATGCTTCTAGATATAACATTATCTTCATCTGACTTTTCAGGAGTGGACCTACCAGGAGACACGCTTGCTGACTTACAGTATGCCGATGACATAATCCTATTCGGTGAAGACGCTGACAAATTGCAGTCTTCTGACTACCCTAAGCAACAATTCAAGCATGTTCGGGATGCGGTTTTCCCCCTGGAAATGCGAAATTTCGCTTCAGGATTGGCTCGCATCGGTCCCTGTACTAGTGATAAAAAGTGGAGCAGTCGTGTTTCTACCGCTTCACTTATCTTGAAAGTTTCATCAGTGCTGATGTCCTGGTGACTGACGAAATCTCAGCACGGATACAGAAGGTTCGGTTGGCTTTTGCCAAGTTGCATCACCTATGGCGCAGGCAAGTTATCCATCTGCTGATCACAGGACGAGTGTACTGCGCAGTAGTTCGTTCCGTTCTACTCTGTGGCTGAGAAACATGGCCAATCAGAGTAGAAGATATTCGTAGGTTACTGGTTATCGTTCATAGGTGTCTCCGAAGCCATTGCTCGTATATCTTGGGACAGCCGTGTAAGCAATGTCGTTGTTAGGAAACGGGTCCTAGATAAGGATAACAGATCAATAGATGAAGCATTGAAACTTCATCAGTTCAGGTGGTTGGGACCTGTGGTACGTATGCACGCCTAGGAATAGGTTGGGCGAAAGCTAGACCAAAACATGACACAATGCATGAAGTCAGTGACAAGTGGACTGAGTCATGTCGGTAGGTGTCGACTACCTGGTTGGAGTCCGCAGGATGATAGTAATCGATGGTTAGAGACCTTGCATGACATGTCTCAAAATCGTTTGCAATGGCATCCACTCTTTGTGTTGTCTCAAATTCTTACCTTCTGAATTCTTCATCACCTTTATCTTTTTCTTTTTAAGTTTATTTCACTGAATTGTACTTGTTGAATAATATCTTGGAACCCTAATCTCTCCGATTACTGTTAATGCTTTTACTAACTTTACTACTTTGGGATTTGAATCGACAATTTCATCTCTGTGCTAATGTGGTATTGCAACTTCAACTGATGTACGTAGGTACGAATTTCTACGTCGCTGTTGATTGATTTATTGATTTTATCGTTTAAGTTACATACTGAGCTTAACTAGACTATCAGTGAAAACCAGGAAATACTGAGTTGCTGTTTCATGGTAAAATGGAACTCGCTAGCAATACTCATGAACGACCACCTCACCATAGGGGACCAACGACGTTCGGTATTGTGTGTGAACCCTTAACCTTATGATTTAAACTAGGAAAATTACATAATCCCCTAAAACTCCATGATAATATTCTGTTGTTCACTAATGGAAAAATTGTTTTATCGCATATCATACGCTAGCTCTTGTTGGATTGTTTTGTGTCACGTTTCAGTTACTGCTTTATATTTAAAAAATGACAACAAATATGACTATTATTAACCCAATTTAATCACATACTAACGTCTTTTTGCTTGATTTTTCTATCTTGTTATTATTATATTCAGGTTTGATGAACGCACTTTACTTCAGTGGACGAATATTGATCCAGTTGGATTACTTCAAGATCTTTCTAAACGTTATGGCAATTATTCACAAACTGAAATCAAAAATTTGATTAATCTATTTTATGATTCTGGCATTAATCATGGCTATTTGAATCGTTCTTGTTTAGATCCGTTAGATCCCGCTTGCCCAGTGTCTGCTCCTAATTATAGAGGAAAGGTGAGTGTGTATAAATAAGCAGCTATTCAAATGCCATTGGTGTGATTACATACAGGGTTTATAAGTACATCAAACTTTAGGGTTGTACTATTTACTTCTCTTAATTTGGCATGTAATAATGTCAAAAATGCTAATAACTTATCCAGATAATTTCCTCATTGATTTTTATAATAATACACTACAGTATATTTGCTATATTAGAAGTAAGTCATCCATCGGGTAACTGGTTGCACAGTTAGTTTCGCTAACTGTTGGTGTTTACAAAGTTAGATAATTCTAGTCCACTTTTTTGTCATGGTTCTTTCTAGATCTTGTAATAAAAAAACATGATTGTAACTGAGTTAGCCACATTTTTTCACCAGTCATATCAATATCAAACAAATATTTGTCATTTTCAGGCAGAGTTTTGGAGGTTTGTATTTTTACACATTTGAAATCATCAATCAATCATTGTCAGACCACCATTAGAAACCTGCAAGCACTGGACGGCCGTTTTGTCCTGGTATGGGACTCATTTGTCACTGATTTAATCTGAAAATAAACGTTTATACAGACATAAACTTTTAAATCTTGCTTACTAACTTACTTAATCCTATTACTCCTTTTGGAGTATAAACCACTGATCAAGAATTTCCAACCAACGCTATCCTGAGCTCTCCTTCTTAGCTGTTATCAAGTGCTATTTATGCTTTTTACAAGGATTTCAAGTTATGGCTTGCTTCGCGATGTGGGTTGGTCATTTCCGCATTGTGTATCTTATCGACTTCTTAGTTTCCTCAGCTAGAAGTGGGTTTATTCTCTGCCACTGTAGGTTGTTGCTGATGGGATCTGGCCAACAGGTATGAAGTATCTTGCTTGGACAGCTTGTTATCAATACCTTCACTTTTTGGTGATGCTTTTGGTAGTTCTCCAGGTTTTTACTCCATACCATAAATCTATCTTGACATTTGCACTCAAAATCCTTTCTTTGCTCTTGGCTGAAAGTCCTTATTATACGTAAAATGTACACAGTACAAATTCTTCTTTTAATCAAATATAATATTTTTGTTGTTTCTTTATAATATTTTAAGTTTTCGATATCACAATCAGTGTGAATATATCTTGATTTCATTATGATAATTTCCACAGGCTCCATATATCTCCAAGCTTCTTAGTGGTGGTTGTCCAGGATTCGCTTCCAAAATGCTTCATTGGCCAGAGCAAATAATAGTTGGTGGTCGAGTTCATACCAATAACAGTTTCAATATACCATTATATGCAAATCACCAGAACGTTGCATCTGATTTAAATCAAAATAAAACTAAATCTTCACAATTTCCTGATCACCTTCATTTATCTTCGTCAGACAATCAGGGTTCAAAAAATGTTTCTTATCTACTAAAGGCTAATTCACTTCAGTCACTTATCTTGTTGAGATCTCCAAGAGATCTATATGAAGCAGTTAGACGAAATGATCCATACAAACATGAAGATTGGACATTAGATGATGCTAGACATGTTTTACGTGAATGGAGACGAAATCTAAGACGTGTAAGTTATTTGGCTTTTCTTTTATAGAAACTAACTGTTTACATTTGATTTGTTTATTTTAAATTATTATTATTTATTCACCAACCCAATTTTAATTTTATGTTTATTGTAGTTGATCATAGAACACAACACTGGTTTACAACCGAATGTTGGATGGCAATTCTTCGCATTTACTAATGCTTCTTTACGTGATCTCTTACAAGAAATTACACTTCGTCTAGGACCTCTCACACTGATTGGTTGCCTTTTATTGGTGGTAAGTATTTGCTATTGCTATTGGTCTAGATCTTGAATAGGTATAATACCATCCAAACAACTCTATATGTATTAGTTGTTTGAATGTGACTAATAGTGTTTAGGATTGCGATCGATCAGTCTCTTTCGGAATACAAAACTGATGGTTTTCGCTTTGGTTAGTGGGTGCAGACAAAAAAAGATAGAAGTAGTTTCTCTTACAGTACTGAATTCGAGATAGCAAAGTAATAACATAGCACACGAACGCATTACTATTCAACTTAGATTGAATTTCGTGATGCTGTGTTAAGAACTTGGAAGCATCTCCCATTTGATGAAAAATTAATTTATTTGTTCACTAAGTATTTTAATCGCAATTTACTACAAATTCTCAATATTCAGTCTTCCTCATTATCGTTGCTCCCTCATCATTTCGACTACTTTACTGTTCATCTTATCAATTTATCTCGTCGTGGTAACACAATGTGGTAACTTTGGCTAACGCATCTTTATTTCTCACTGTACGCTGACGACAACCAACTGACAGTAAGAGAAAACTAAAAGAAACATATGCAGTGTGAAAATAAGTGAATTTTACCGCTACAAACAGTATACGGCTGTTTTTAATTCTATGATAGTACTAAAATCACATTATTTCGATTTAGTTCATATATATATATATATATCTTAACTTGTCGACTTAGAATATGTCGATGACATATTTCTACTTGGGAACATCAAGTAAGCAATGCCGTTGTTAGGAAATGGGTCCTAGGTAAGGATGGCAGATCAATGGATGAAGTATTGAAACTTCAGTTGATGTGGTTGGGACATGTGTTGCGTATGCCTAACCACGGACTGCCTAGAGGAGCGATGTTCTGTATTGTAGGAGTAGGTCGGAAGAAAGATAGGGGCGGTCAAAGCAAAAGACGGCACAAATGAATGAAGTCATTGACAACTGGACTAAGCCGTATTAACAGATGTTGACTACCTGGTTGGGGTCCACGAGATAATAGTAGCCGGTGATTAGAGACCGTGAATGACATGGCTTAAAATCGTTTGCAATGGTGGAGATACATCCGTTCTTTGTGTTCTCTCAAATTCTGGTATTCTAAATTCTTAGTCACATTGATCTTCCTCTTCTCAAATTTATTTCACTGGATTATGCTCCTTGGATAATATCTTCAAACCTTAGTCTTTTGGATTACCGCTAACATTTCTACGACCTCTACTACTTTTGGATTTAAATTGACCACTGCGTCTCCGTGCCAGTGTGGTGGGGCAATTTGAACTTATGTACGTACGTACGAAGTTCTACGTTGTTTCTGACTGACTTATATATATATATATATATATATATATATATATATATATCTGTCAATCAAAGTAAATGTCTAAGCATAAGGACGATAAACAAGGATATACCTTTCACTGCATCTCTCTCTCATATATATATATATATATATATATATATATATATATATATATATATATAGTTGTTATTTGAAATTTCTGTTTACTTTTATGGTAGTCCTAAAAATATCATTCTCATCTCTTTGTCTAACTCGTATATACATGTTTAGTAAGTTACACACTACTAGCAATAATTAAAACTAAAATCATAATAGTGTACTTGTAGAGTTCAATAATATTGTTCATGATTCCCTACTGTATGTTTGAACGAAGTAGGGGGATTCTGGGTTATAATTATTACATCAGTGTTTTTTGCCTTTACAGAACACTTTTAGATACGCTTTGCGTTGGTCAGTAGTTCTAATTAAGTTGTGCAATTACTAGAAAAAATTAATTAATTTTTGCTCAAAAGTTTCTCATTTCAATCCTTTTTGAAAGCACCATAGATTTCCAACTTTTTTGTACAGTGTGAAGATAAATGTTATAGATTTGCTTTATGTTTTTAAGTGTTTTAATTGTCTTCTCTCTTCAATTCAATATAGTTTCTCTATGGCGTTGTCTGTCTTCTTGGTTGGCGAGATCCTGTTCGTTCACAGTGTTGGTTGGCATTATGCGGAATAACAATTATAGCGTTGTCATCAGTAGCTGGATTAGGAATTTGTGCAGCTGTTGGTATTCCTTTCAATGTATTAACTATTCAGGTAGAATTATCCGATTCTTGATCATTTATGTGTGTTTGTTTTTCGTAGTGAATAATTAGTAAGACAACACAATTACTCAGCTGTTTCAAACCCTTAATCATTAATTCAAGGTGAAATAAGATATTTATGCCAAATTAAAATGTCATACACAAATGTTAATGATTACTTATATTGCATGTATTAAATTTTGAACTACAGAAATGGGTAAAAATAATATCGAAACTAATCAAGTTTTATAGTTGAGTACGATGCATTTAGTTCAGTGAGTTTTGACACGAATTTTAGTCGTTCAGTCTATGGATTATCAGTTTCCCATACACAGTGATAATAAATTATTTTTATCATATCAACTTCACGTTAGTTATTCTATCTATTAGATAATAGTTGTTATCAAAACAAAATCATGTTGGTTATTTCATTTTTCATATTTGAATTATTATATTATTAATTGTTTTTTTATCACTTGACTTTTGAATGGGCTAATAGTAGTAGTAGTAGCCTAGTCTCGTTTGTTAAGAATTCTTTAGATAAACGATAAATATTTAGATTCTGTACACGATTTATTTTATATATGTTCGGACGATGAACAATTACTCAATTACAATTACAATTACTCATTTAGGGTTAATAATTTCTTTTCACTTAGTAAACTTGATTTATTTCAAATACTTAAAGATTATAAATATTTTTTTTAACTTTTTATTTCACATAAAATTTTCTATTACACAGAGTTACCTACTGTATTGAGTAGGTTATTGTTTCTATGTATTACAAGTTATCAATGATTTAAGTATGTTGTTTTTCTGAATATCTTATCTATATTTACAGGTATTACCTTTTCTTCTCCTTGGTTTGGGTGTAGACAGTATATTTGTTTTGACTACTTGTCATGAATGTTGTATCGCTCGACGCGTAGTCTTGTTGACAAATTCACCGCCTCCTTCAGATTTGGTTAGTAAAGTAAATCTCCTTTTGTTTGTTATACCTTTCTAGCGTAAATAAAATTTATGGATACTGAATACTTTGAAATGATTCAGAGCCTACAATTACATAATGTGCTGTTTGAATAGGTTAAAACCAATTAATCGATAATGTTATGTAAAAATAGTCTTATTAATAATTATTTAATTTTAGTCGGGATCATATGCTAAAGTGTATATTTCTACAAATCATTGTATATACGTATTTCAAGTTAGTCGGTTCATCATTTTTATAAAACAATCAACTTATGTTGGATTTTAATGGTGAAATTTAGTTAATAAAAGTCAGAAGCCATTGCCTTACTATGGATAATATTGTTCAAGTAGTGTGTTTTACCGATGTATTATACTGCTAGGTGTATTTGTAATTGATATTTCTCAAATGTATTGTTATTGTTTACAAGATCTTTTTATTTATCTATTATCTCAGAGTATTCGGTCGTCAGCAATCTCCTTATCTTCATGCTCATCGAAATCATCTAATCCTGTCCATGTATTATCTGTACATGGTCCCAGTCTACTTTTTGGTACAATATCTTTAGCTGGTGCTTTCTTTTCTGCTGCATTTATTCCCGTCCCGTTAATTCGTCAATTCTGTCTACAGGTAAAACGATAAGACAAAACGTATTAAAAGAATTTTTCATGTTAATCTTTTTCATTCTACTTGGATTTAAGTAATTTTTTCCGTTGTTTGCTTTATATACTGTATATGTATATTAGCATTGACATATTTTCTGTTAAATACATGTGCTTTCATATTAAAAGTAGTATGGTTACAAATGTGATATTGTACCAAACAGATCATAGACAATGTGTTTATTTTTCTGTCTACCTAGCTGTAACGAGCACATTTTACTTTGACCACAGGAGACTATCTCATCTGGACCACCCAGTAACTTTAAAATTCCTATTTGTAAAATACTATTGTTTGTTGTTCATACATTATATTTGCATTGAACAGAAAATCATCTAAGCTGTGTCAGTGGACATTGATATATGACCACATATTTTTTCGTTTAGCTCTGTCTTTTCATGAAAAATAGCTTTTTTTCTTCAATTTATCTACCGAACTTGAAGACCACCCTATAAGTTGTTCATTTCTGATCAGTTTATTTTTATGTGTATTATAATAATAATAATATTATCTCTTCTAAATTGATTGTCCTCACATCGCTTAGGTCTATTTTGAAAAAATTAAAAAAAAAAGATATTTGTTAAATTGTTGTCTAAAGTGGCGACTAATTTCTATGTATTATCACCTACCACACATATATATATATATATGTATATATACGTACTATTCTGTACAAATGTACACTCAGAAAATCCTCTTTATCTTTTTAATTATGTCTGTAAATTTAGCTGTAGGTTGAAAAAAAGTACACTCTATATTGGTGGTCTAGTGTAAAGTTTCAGACATTCGCATTTATTTTTTGCATAAATAACATATGCATATCTACTTACATACATGATGAAGGAGAAAGTGGTGGTAGACATAATCAGGAGAAAATTTTAAATTTTGTGTAAATTGCAAATTTTCATGTTTTACTTGAATGTACAATGTCTTCTTAATGCTATAATTATCAGGCACAAATTTGAAAGTCCCATTGGAAAAACTGTTAACTTTTTACTTACTAAAGTTGTATTTCGTGTTGAAATATTTGTTAACTACAATTGAATACCACAGTGTGTAAATAAATAAATAACACTTAAATTGAATACACTTTATAAGTGCTTGATATTCTGTAATCGTTGATTTTTGGTGTCTATTGTCAGAATCATCAGTATTCATTTAATGCATCAGTTTTAAGCGTCTATCGACATGAACCATCAAATTTCATGAAAGTTTCATTTGGATTCTATGCAATAGAATGTGCGAACACATTTGTTTTCATGCAATTTAAAATTTATTGAACGAATATAATTGAATATAGGTGGAAATGTTATCTTTCACTGTATAATCGAATCAAGAACTGCTATTGTTCACAACTAAAAATACACAGCCATATTGTTTAGTCTATTTTATTCTATTTTATTTGTGAAAGTAATCAATGGAAACTTTAGTAGCATCCTTGTATATGTGTGATTTTAACTTGGGTGGGAAGTTACATTTTTCTCTATTAGTTCTAGTCTTTTCTTTTTTTTTATTTTTTGTCATAGTAACTAGTAGAGTTGTATGCATTTTCAATGTTGAATCTTGATTTCATGTTTTTTTTTTAATAAAAAATAATAAATAATATGGTTAGAATTTATGTAGAAGAAAGCGCACATACATTTATTATTTAAAATAATCATTGTTTCTTTTGTGTTCTAGTTCTAGTATATAATTAATCAAAAATTCATTTGTTTATCTATAAAATTTACCATCGTGTTGCCGAATGTTGAACAAATATTACTGAGTGTAATTCTGTTTAGTTTTTTTTTCTATGTATAATAAGTTAGGAGAATAAAGTAGAAAGTTTGGTTAACTTCAAATGATATTTATTTATTAATAATAAATCTCTTTTTTTTTATAAATTTCTCACAAATTCATCAGTCGGTTTTTATTCATGGTGAAATTTATGATTTTGAAGATTTTTGCTTTTAATTATAATGTGACAGAAAAAAATTTAGCTAAACAAGTCAAACTGAAAATTGAATATGTTTAGTGTCGTGTACTGTAATCAGTTATTTATTGATACATGTGCTTTTTTATTGTTGCTTAACATATTTTATAGCATGTAGATCAAATATGATGATTGCTAACCGCAAGTATCTGTTGATTCAGCTAAATTAACAGAGTATGATTTAGAGTGTTAAAAGCAGCCACTGAATGATGAATATATGTTAAAGTACTCGGATTTAGTGTAGAAGAATGCAAAGTTGAACATACTTCTTTTGGGCTTAGAGTGTAGATTTGAATTGGTAGTTTACTACTCTGTTTAGAAGAAATAGATCTTACAGAAACCTCTGTACGGAAAATTGACTTTGACTGATCAGTATACAAATTTCCATTGTTGGGTCCTGTCCAGTCGGAAGATAAACATAATTTAGTCTGTCGTCGAGGTCTAGATGAATAGGCTCCAATAATGTAATAAACGACGAAGTACTTCAACTTCAACAAGTACTCATCAGAAGTGACTATCCATCTAAATTCATAAATAGAAACTTGACACTAAAACTTCAACCTAAAATATTAACAGTTCCAAAGAATATTCTGTATAACTGTCGAGTTTAAAAGAGTTACGGCTGTAGAAGTCTTTAATAGACGGATTTATCAATCCATGAGTAGAACTTCTTCCTCAGCTAAGTTTCATATTGTCTTTTCCAGTTGGCTTATTGTCCATAGATGGGTTAAAAATAAACTACGACTTTGGACTATATCGATGTGCATCTGTAGGTATTTTCTGTCGTAGGGCAGGTTACATTACCTTCATTAAGCTTTCACTTTCTAAACGCATCTTGAAACACTACCCAACATGTCTTTTACAAAACTTATGTTTACAAAACATCCTATTGTTCAATACAGGAGCACCTCATCAACTCGAAGCATGTTGCTTTAAAGGAATCGTCTTTCAAAATAATCTACACGGTGAAGAAATGGGATCAAAGGGAGATCGAATCAAAAAGCCTATGTACTTCTGAGGCATTGGCAATTCACCAATCCAACCGTGAGCTCTGCATGCTAAAGTTATACCTCCAACATCTCATCCTTCTATTACCCTTTCTGCATTAAAGCAAAGTACTTGAAGATATATATCTTCATCATCCGGTGGTTGCTATTAAAACTAAATGATACTCTGTTAATTTAAATGACAAAAGAACAACTTATGATTGATGTAATGACTAAGCATAAAAAGTAGTCGGTTTTCACGTTGTGTACATTTGCCTTACAAATATTTTATCACTGTTTTTGTAATTTCCAGTTGATGTGTTACCAAATGTACCTTATTCTTTATTATCACAGGCTGGTATTCTTATTCTTACACAATCACTCAGCGTATTTATGCTCTTCCCTGTTCTGTTGCAACTTGATGCCACTCGTCGTAATCAAAAGCGTCTAGATGTGTTGTGCTGTTTACGTCAACCAGAGCTGGAAACAACCATCAAAACAAATCCCCAAAAGTTGACCACTTTTTGTCAATCTGAACCTTGTTATTTACGATCACTTAATTATCATTCTGGTAGTAAAGATTTAATGCTTAATCGTTGTCATCGTTATCATCACCATCATCATCATAATCATCACTATCATTGTCGTCATTGTCGTTACATCAATTCAAAAAGATTAACAGGAGGAAATCGTGATATTTCTATTAATTTACCGGAGACATGTGTTAATTCTGGTTTTTCACATCCAACTATACAAGTCAATGTAGTTAATCATCTTTCTAGATCAAAACGTTCGTCATCCTTTTCCAATTTCAGTCATGAGGTTGCTAAAGCAACTGTCAAGACAACAGCCAATTGTGATGCTAATACTGTTCATACTACAGTTACTGTAACTGGACATCAAGACAAGGAAACTAATCCATCTTATAATATGGCTGAGTCTAGTGGAGCTGAAAATGTATCAATTTTGGAGGTTAGTAGTTCCATTAAAAAAACAGCATCCTGTTTAGATATATTTGCATGTTACAATTATATGTTTAGTTATATTATAATGAATAACAAATAATTGTGCTATCCTTTAACTACTCTGTAAGTGTAAAGAATTCTGTGTATTACTCAGTGTAGTATCTGTGTATTAAAATAAATATACTGTGATTTTACTTCAAGTAATTTGTATGCATTGTATGTGTACTTGAGAAATGTATTACTTTTCAAAGGAGTTCTCTGGAATGATGTTGTTTTCAGTTGATTTCTATCAACAGAGAGAGGAGGGAGTGAAGGCAAAACTGAAAACTGTTTTCGATTGTTAATACATGATGTCTTTTGATCTTTGTTCTTGAGTATTTTTCAAAGCGTACATTTACCTACAACTCTTATCAGATAAATATCTTTCATCTGTTCGATCTAAACTTTGGAAGATTTTAAGATAAGAACAGCAGCAATTAATGATTATCTTTTAAAGTAAAAAACAGTTAACTATTATGTATCATGCTTTCATTTCATCAATTAGACAATGTCAGTATGGCTAAAAAATCATTCAAAACTGAGAAACATTTAACAAATATCTTCTTATACATTGAAACCAAAACCTTCAATCCTTTCAAAGAACTCTTGCTCTATACTGTTGAATTATTTGAATGTTTTGAGTAGTCTTAATTAATATCATTGACTGAGGAATGATCGATCGTATGAGTTTCATGTGAACTGTATTACAAAAATTCAAAATACCTAAATAAGATAATGCAGAGTGACTATGATTGAATTTTTCCAGCAAGCTCTAATAGTTTATCATGTCGATTAACTAGTAAATTTCAATTAGTTTTAATGTGTTGATAAAGTAACAGTGTATTAGTCTTATTTTAGCATAAAATCATTGATGCATACCTATCTTTATGTACCAATCGTACGTCATAGTCTCAGTTTTCAGTCTGTATTTCTTTGCAAATTTATACACTTAATTCATGTACAATTTTCAGTGTTAGTTTAATTTCTTTTAGAAAATCAGCTTTCTTGATATATGTTCAAATTACTATTAACTGGATTGGATTTTTATTGTTGTGAAAAAAATTACATCTGTTCTACATTTAATCGAGTGTAACTGTTGTTGCATTGGAAACATCCAGTTTTTTGTCAGTTCATTTTTTCTTCTTGTAAATTGTGCTAATACAGTGTTGAAAACAACCTTTTTTCTTCTCTGTTCTCCATCCTTTTCCCGTCAAACACTGATGTAGGTAGGTAGATATGTAGGTCTTGATGATAGTGTCAGTGTTTCTCTTCCCTTCAAAGTTAAACCTACCTGTTGATGTGCTTGTGTATAAGTAAGTAAATATCACTGTGTAACAGTTACTACTATATACATTAGCCAAAGATAAGATTTCACCATCGATATTAACATGTGCGCGTGTGTGTGTGCTTACAATTTGAAAAACCAGGATGTCTACGCAGTCCAATCACAAATACGTAAAATATATGTCACAAAATATTTTGATTGGTTCTAAGAAAAAGTATCAATTTTTTTCGGTTACTTTCTGTTTTGGTTTTTTTGTTCTATATCGATCAGCTTTCTATATTTCGTATGAGGAAAAGCATTTTCGGACAGCAAGGCTGTAATTATAACAAATATATGTTTGTGTTAATATACAATAACAGTTCAATAAGTAAATAAACTAGCCCGATTTCTCTCAACCTTGTTTTTTAACGTGTTTTTGCTTGTCTGCTTTGGTTTGAGTGTGTATAAATGAAAGTTGATAATTCGCTTTTTTAACATTGTAGCGTAAACTACTGTTTAATTTGTTCAGCATATTGTTTTTGTGAATAATTTATTTATCAGTGGAATTCAACAGAGTGCACTCTTTAATATTACAACTTGTTTGCTTGTATTTAAACATCCAAGAAAAGATAAGAGTTTAATGTTTGAATTGAAGTATACAGATTTCAGTTGTGAGCTATTTGTCTAAGCGATTTCTATTCTATTACTCGTTGTGCTGACGGAAATTGGTTTTACTGCCTTTTTTTGTGATGTTTAGTTTCAAGACAGTAGTAACCACCAGGTGGATAAAACAACATGGTACTTTTGATCGTCGTACCACAATTATATATGTATGGTTGTTTCAATTGTATTTTTCTTTTACTATAAATCACTATCTTTTATCCGAAGTAATATCGCGATTGATTTGATTTTTCTATTTTTCCAGTGTGAGAAAAACTGCTCTTGTCGAGATGTTACTCCAATTCCAGATCAAGGAAGCTTACAGAAATGCGTAAATAAATCCGAATCTTGTTCTGAGGAAAAATTAACTCTTTCTTCGTCGTTGCTTGTACGGTTCACTAGACACTTTGCTCTTTTTATTACCAGTCACTGGAGTGTACAATTGTGTATATGCCTATTAGGACTTGGATTATTTTGTACAGCTGTGCTTTGTGCAGCTTTTAAATTGCGCTTAGGTTTGGATTGGTCCAGTCTAACACCTTCAGATACCATCGAATATGGATTTATAAAAACGGCAGGCCAAGCTTTTGGTTTGAGCAACTTTCATATTATTGCTCGTGGTACCGATCTTCCTGGTTCTCGACCATTATCTAGTCAACCACTTAAACATTATACAACTTCATCAGCTTCCAGTGGGACATCTGCTCGATCCCGTGTAAGCCTGGCCACTGTCGGGCGAGGAATAGACTTTCCAATGCAACAGCGTCGTCTTCGTTGGATGTATCACTGTTTAACGAGTGTTTCAGGTGTAATGTTATCTGGACGAAAAGTTTGGTTAGATACAATGCGTGACTGGTTAGAAGAGGTACAAAATGCATTTGATAAAGATCGTAAACAGGGATATATTATGGATAGCGGACATTGGAGTGCTAATGCTAGTGAACTTGGTGTTCTTGGCTTACGTTTAATTGTCCAAACTGATCGTGGTCCTGAGTTAAGTAGAGTAAGTCTCTTAGTCAGTCAGTGTATATTTTTACAAATGATTTATTAACCTTAACATTCATTCATAACTTTTTTTCTCACTTTTCATTTTTTTTTAGATTAACACTGGCCGAATAGTACGTGGTGGTATAGTAGATCCACCAGCTTTCTATACACTTTTACGTGTTTGGCGTTCCAAAGATGCTTTAAACTTTTCATCACTACCTTGTATTATTTATCCAGAACCAAGTATAGTTCATGTTGGTCGTCTAACTGGCCCTGGACGTCCTTCTGATCTGCATGCACTATCTCCAGCTGAACCGATCGAATTTGTTCAAACAAGCTTTTATGCTGTAGGTGTCAGCGAGATGAGTGCACAGCTTGATTTAGTTCAGGTAATTAATTTGACTACTTTTTCAGCTCAGTTTATTTTTATAAATCATTGAATATTGTTCATAAATTATGTTTTCTTGTCAATACCTTTAGTTTCATATATGTCTAAATACATATCTATTTGAATTAAATTACCAAGATAATTTAAATAATCTTTACTGAAACAATACGTGTTAAAACTTTTAAAAAACAATGTGAACCGTTTATTTTCAACTATCAGTGAACAATTCAAAATTCTTCAAAGTAAACAAAGCTATTCTACTAGTTGTTTAGTTCAGTTATTGTATGCAAGTGCTGCTATTAACTCATTATATCATTCATAGATGGTTCAATGAGGTTTTGTTAGCGTATAGTGGATTATCTTCGACATAATTTCTATGCTTTATGTCACTCAGTCTGATAACTGTTATGATATATCTTCCAACCGTGATCAAATATACATAATCACAGCATCATGAGGATGTTAGCATAATGATAGAAGCAGAAATTGTTACCTTCACAAATGACGCCATCCGTTGAATAAGTTGATTGAAAGGTTTAATAAATTTATACGTGTCTAAACTCTTAGTATTGTTAAGGGTATTATGACTACACATTAATTTATTTTTATGAAGAATTTTTCTGATGCTTTGATTGTAATAAATATTTACTAGAACAGCACATACAAGGCGACAATATTGTTTGCAATTAGATCGTCATCAGACTCTAATTAATATACTTGAATATCTGTATGAAAATGTTAAACCAATCAAGGCAATTTATGGATCAATAAGCACAATAAAATAGATTACTTAGTAGAAGCTATAAGAATCCGAACCTTCAACCTCAGTTTATGTGTTAAAAAATATTCGTGACACTTCTGTACCTTCCTTGACCGACTGTAACTTAATAAAGAATTTTTTTGTATATTATTATTATTATTATTATTATTATTATTATTATTTTCACATCTATTATTTGTTTGTCACTTTTTAGCCTCTTCCCGTTTATATTCTTCGCAACCTATTTATTTACACCCTTCTTATTACGTAATTCTAGTAATGTTTTGTGATTATTTAGTCTCTTTATCCAAGGTTAACCTACTACTTCCAATGTTGAATAGTTGACTAAAACATTTGTTATGGCATTTTGCTATTCCTAACACCCACAGTTCACCTTTCCTCCTACTGCCAAGTTGTACTTTAACCTATTTTATGTAGTCATGTAATCTGCCTCATCGTAATCATAGACTCATAAATTGGTTTAAAATTTTCATATATATATTCATGTATATTAGAGTAGAGCCTGATGACGATCTACGAGAAAACAATCTTATTCCCTTAAATATGTTGTTCAGACTTTCACAATGATAATGTTTATTATTTCTGTTGTTCTTTTGAATAGCAAATTCGACATATTACTGAAACTGCAACCGTTCAAGGTGTTCCAGCTTTTCCTACTGGTGTTCCGTTTACATTTGTCGAGCACTATATTTATCTAGTTCGAGAGACAGCAATCGCTTTTGGCATATTCTGTACTGTAATTCTGCTTACTGGATTAATATTATTCTCTTCACCGATTACTGTCTTACTTCTACTAATAATTGGAGCTGTTGGTGGGGCGTGTTCCGCAATCATTGGTTTAGTAATTCTCAATTTGGCTTTAAATCCTATTTCTGCCTGTTTACTATTGGTATCGAGTGGTTTAGGAGCTAGGATATCTGTTGGGTTTCTTGGATCATGGCCAGTATCTCATTTGTATACAGATTCATCTTCTAGTCGATCAACCCGTAAAATATGCTTATGCCAGTCTCATTCATCATATGGATGTACTGCATCTGATTCAACTCAATTTTGTACCCATGTTCAAAATTGCAGATGTGATCCCACACAGATTACATTGTCTCAATCACCATCATCCGTTCATAATACCACTGATACTGTTTCAAAACGCCGTGAACTAGTTAGGGATCAAATAGTTCGTATGCTGAGTAATCATTTTACTCCGGCTTTTCATGCTACAGTTGGACTTTTGCTAGCGTTATCTTTACTCGTCGCTGCTCGTGTGCAGTTCATAGCCGAGTAAGTTTATGTTTTATCTGATCTTGATATTAATAATAAAATGATCATCATGGTTTATTATTCTTAAATGGTTATGTTACATCGCCAGAAATATCAATTCAGTTGTTATTAGAAAGTACCCTAGAAACTTCAAAAAAGATTGAAGGATCATGTTTCACATCCTGGATAATTACTTATTTTGTCAATAAATTTAGCATTCCTCCAGAAGTTTCATCCTGATCTGCGATTCGGGTTCCCTAGTGTAGTAGAATTCTGGTAATGTAGGAAGCAGTTAAGGAGCCATTAGCTCCTGAATAGAAAACTTAAAAAAGCAAACAATATGACAAATGTTTCTGAGTAAGAAATCAACTACTTGAAATAATAATTAGTATAATCTTACTATAAAATAAGCTACTCTATTTGTTTGTTGTTTGACAGCTTATAGTGGTGAAATAAATCCTTCACAACTTTCAAAATTAGGATTAAGATTTCCAAATACATTAACTGGAGCTGAGTTGAAAATTTTTCATTCATAGTATACTGCTTTTTTAAAAGAAATGTGACTTCAATTAATTAATTCAATTAATTTGCCATTGGTTTTCAGTAATGAAGTTGTAAATACTTAGTAAAAATGAATTACATATTTAATTTGATTCCTTTGAGTGACCAACTAGTTAATTTGTTAAAAATAAAGGATATAGAAGCTTGAAATTACTTATTTTTAGCGACTGTGATGATTGTTTTGCATTGAAATCATGAATGAATTATTGTTAGAAACTTGAAAACACTGGACGGCCGTTTCGTGCTGAAATGGGACTTATCAGCGGTACGTACCAACGACTCTTGCTACCCGCAGGATTCGAACTCTGGACCTTCGATCTTGCGCGCCAACGCTTGACCTCTAGACCACTGAGCCGACATCAAACGGTATTGATGTCTAACTCTGTGATATCATGACAAATTTGTGAAATCATTCTAATAGAACAGATGGTTTATGGCTAGCAGTGAAATATAGGACCCACTTTTCATTCCAACTAATGGGATGTCTCTTTGTCACTAAAGACTGATCAAAATTCAGTCTTCAATACAAATTACAGGATTGTTCAAATTCTTGCTACTGATGATGTCAAAGGGTATTAAGCTCGAAAATTCTGCAAGTGGGACACGCTAAGTTAAAATATCATGTTCATTGTGTTAGGGAATTTTTTAATATTATTCCGTTTGCTCAACTTTTGACAATCATTAATCACATTATTTTTACTATTGTTACAATTTGGGCCCAATTTTTTCATTTTATGCATTTCCTCCTACTAAATTGATACTACTGTTTGGTAATTTGTATCAAATCAAATTCACTTAGTCTTTTATTAATACACAGATTCTAATCGAAACAAGATTCCGTTAGAACTATGGTTTTTTGCTTTGAAAGTGTACTTGATCTCAGTAAATATTTCTTTCTTGGATTATAAAAACATGCTTTAATAGTATGCACCAGTTATGGTGTATTACTTAATCGATGCATTCATTATTCTCTACTAGAATTGTTGTATGCATTGAAAAGATTATCATTATAAACGTTAAAACATTAGTTTTTCGGTTGGAGTCTTTTAGAAAATGAAGCAAGCTATAAAAAAATTACTAACCTTGGTGGTTTAACATGATGATGAAGTTATCGTTTTCAATGTTGAACATCTGTTTATTGTGTTTGCTGTAGTCAATCTTAAAACATTATCTTAGATTCATTGATCTCTTACGTTACATTAACCATGTGTTGTTCTGTTCACTTATATACACTAATCAATATTATTACTAAGTTTATTGTATTTTATATCATTAAATTTCCATTTCTTAATTATAGCTCATAAAATTGTTTTTTTTCTCTTTTTCAATAATGTTCTTGTTTTGTTTTTTGTTTTTTTGTTTGATTATTCATTACAGTTACTTTTTCCGTCTGATCGTTATTGTTAGCTTTGTTTGTTTATTCAATGCTGTGTGTTTAATACCAACTATTTGTTATTTGATTGGTCCACTTCGTAGCCATGTAAGTGCCTTCACATATATATTAATTGATCATATTTTGTAGTAATAATTGTTTTTGTCTGTTTTTTTTCTCTTCTGAAAATACTTTGTTTTGCAAAAACACCCTTATAGTTGATCTACATTTGTCAAACAGTCAACTTGAAATTAGTTGCTTATACAATAAATTAGTTTTGTGTCCATGTTGTATATTTTGACAGAAATATAGGAGAAATTAATCGCATCAATGTAACTGCTTTTTTTTTTGTAATGTTTCAAAATTTATATATATTGGTTTTCCGATTGTAGTGTTCAATTTATCTTTTTTGACGAGAGAAATTAAGATCTTTTCTTTTCACTTCTAGAAAAAAAAATTCTGTTTTGATCTGTTCTTAGTATAAAGGAAATTAATAACATTGGTGAATAATAGTAAAGCTGCCGTAAATAGTGGTAGTAATAATAATGACTAATTATTTATGTTTATCGAGATATGTAGTTGCAAGAAATTGATATTGTTGGTTACGTAGCTGTTGTATAATATTCTGCATTACGGATCAAACTTTACCTAAAAATACACATTGGATATTCAACAGCTCCAGGCGCAGTTATGGGACTCCTTAGTAGTATGCATTCACCGTCTTGACAAAAATCTAGTTCAGTACTTCCATGTCTTGAGGAAAGCGTGTTAATTGTGATTTAGACAACTGGCTTTTAATAATTCATATATGTATAACTTTAGTTAACTGGGAATGTTGCATGATTGTTGTAACCGAACGTGAGCCAAGTAAATAACTTTATTATGCTTAGTTGACTTAAAGCTACAGTTATTGTATGAAGTGGGGAGGGGCGGCGCAGAAATTGATGGTTTTCAAGTAGCAAAACGTGAAGTTTTACCCCAGCAGTCAAGAGTAGCCTATTTTTTTTTACCACCTTATTGCAAGTTTATTTCTTATAGATAGCTGTTTTGTAATATAATCAATGGAATCAGTAAAACCGCATTTAAAGTTTGTGTCAAAGTATTTTTTCTTTGGTTTTTTTTTCGAAGATTAGTAAGCAATAATGCATAGTTATTCTCTTCCGTAATAAATTATTTAAGCCTTATTTTCAAAATGAATTAAATCCTTTTTTTTAAGTAACAGCATGATATGATTAATTAGAAAATTACGTAGAAAGGGTACTTTTCATTTATTGTGCATTAATTTATTTACTCTATTGTTTTTTTTTTCCCTACTACCATTTCAATTAAAAACCTAATATTCTGTCCTATTTCTTACTTTCTAAATGTGCTTGAATTCTTGTAAATAAATATTTCATTAATCCTTTCAAGAGAGACTTTGAAAGCCTAGACACTTCGTCATTTGCATTAAGAAATCTCTTTAATATTCTAATTAGGTAATCATGATGCTTATGACATGTTTTTTTGTATAATCTTATCCATGCAATAACTTTATCAAATCTCTATTCTCAAACGATAAGAGAAATAAGAAAACAATTACTGAAAAGTCATAATGTTGTTTAAAGAAACATTAATCGCTAATATGTTTGCGTCAAAAACAGAGCATAGTTTTCCCTTGTGTATTGATAATAATTATGATAATAGTAATAATAAAAGTAATGACAATAATAATTATAATGACAAAGCAATTAACAAGTTATGACATTTCTTTTTTTAAAGAAAATTTACACGATTACTTATGCATACACACTTTACCAACTTCAATAACCGTTGTATGTAACGCTCTGCTTAGAGAAGGTTTGATGAATAGACAATAGTTGTGTTAACAAATTGTTTGAATTCACGATTAATTTTAACAAGTCAACGTATAGAATAAGAAATTAAATTTAGTGTTACGTTCGATTATTAGTAGTATCCATTTTGAGGAATTCTGATAGATTACAATTCATCAATAATGTCCAAATTCCTAACTTATTGTGACAGTATGTCTATCATAAGTTAGCGTTATTTTGCCTTATTTAAGATGGGTAGAAATCACATGTTTTCTACTGTTCATATCCTTTTTTCAACTAATGCGAATTCGATAGTACAGCAACTGACACAACAAACTATGCATCTCAAGATGAACAATGAGATAGCTGAAAAACTTAGCATTGAAGTCGAATAACTCTTTATATTTAATAAACTAAATTAGATGGCAACCAATCAGAAAAAAAGCAAAATAAGGGGTAAAAATAAAAACTATGAAGGTTTAACCAATGAAGTTTAACCGTGTCGAGTGTAATCAGTTATCTACTGAAAACAATGCGTCAGGTTGCTCAATACCTTGGATTGATTACGGTTAAACGTTAAAACGGTTTGATGGCTTCTCAGTGTCTATAGGTTAAGCATTCGCTCGCAAAACTGAAGATCCTGGATTCGATTCCCGCTGGTGGGTTCGTGGATTCGTATTGCCGATGATTCCCATACTACAACGAAATGGCTGTCCAGTGCTTCGAGGTTACTAATGGTCGTCTAACAATGATCGATTAAAAAAAACTAAGTAAATTGAGGTCATCCAGCAACATCATCACCCAAATATGAAGGTTTTTTTCTGATTCCAAAACTACTACCATAAATCTTTGACTTCGTTTCATCGAATGACGCACAAAAATTGGTTCTAAAATTTATGTCCAACTTATTTACGTAAAATGATTCTTCATTATCTCACCCTAGTGAGTGTCTATGATTTATCATAGCCTACATCTATCTAAAGATAAATCCGTATAAGGTTAATTGCAATGGCATTTTCTCCAGTCTCACGTAACTGGTCTATATGATTTTTTTCAATGTCTGAAAAAATATCGTCCCCGTTCACCTATCTACAGTATTGCAAATATATATATATATATATATCATGAATGTGATACACGTTTTTAAAAAAGTGGTCTATGTTTTTCTTTCTTTAATTATTTAACGTTGTTGTTTGACAAAAATGATATGCTTTTTCCTACTTTTTAACATAATTTAAATTAAAGTAGAAACAAAATACCAAGTTATTTTCATTAACAGTAAGTCAGCTACAACGTTGAACTTGGTACATACGTACATCAGTTCAAGTCGCCCTACCACGTTTGCACAAAGATGGAATTATCAGTTCAAATCCCATAAATAGAGATAGCAGTATAAGGATAATTGAAAAAGATTACGAATAGAAGATACGGAATAAATTTAAAAAGAAATAGGTCATGAGGAATTCAAAAGATTAGAATTTGATGAAAGACCAAGAATGGATGTCCCAACCACCTCAACTGATGAAGCTTCGAAACTTCATCTGTTGGTTCGCCACCCTTACGTAGTACTCGTTCCCCAACAACACTATTGCTTACTGGATAGTCTCAGGATTTACGACAAATGCTTCGGAGATACCTTTGATTGAATGCTAATAACCTACGAATATCTTCTAATCTTACCGGCCATGCTTCGCATCCATGTAGTAGGACGGAGCGAACTGCTGCACAGTAGACTTTTCCTTTGGTCGACGGATATCTCGCTTAGGTGACGCATGTTGGCGAAAGCCAATCTAGCCTTGTGTATCCGTGTTGAGGTTTCGTCAGTCACCAGCCATCAGCACTGATAAGACTCTCCAGATAAGTGAAGGGGCCAATACGCCTAACCACTGCACTCCCTATCACTATCTATGATAACGTTAAGTAAGAATGCATAGTGGATGACTTTGATGAACACCACTTAACGTAATCAGTTCCGACGAAATTTCGCCTACTCAACCAGTAGTATTCGAGTTGAGAGCATGTACAAGGCTAATATAATTCTCTGGTATGCTTTTCAGTGACAAACATTGCCACAAAACCTCACGATCAACAGAGTCAAACACCGCCTTCAGGTTAAGAAATACAACTATCGTGATACGTCTCAACATGTATCTATGTTCTGGAACCTGCCGAAGTGAGAATATTCGATCTCTACATTCACGTTAAGTTGTGAAACTAACCCTGTTTTGTATATTCTGATCTTCACCAACTCTAGTTGAAGTATCATTGAGGCTAATATTTCCTACGTCCAGTAAGCCGCAGGCAAATGCGTCCTCGTACTAAAGCATGATCTCAGTCTGCGATCATGCTACGTTATGTCGACTAGCTGCCTATAGATGTATCATTCAAATTACCTTTTATTAATTCATTTCTTTTAATTGTTGAATGATAAGATTTTTTATTTTTTTGGTAAATCAAACACTAGCTCATACTTGGTGGACGACGCAATTTGTCAAGTATTACTTCAACTCCACATAAATCACAAATAGAGCAGGACGTTATTCACCATCCCTCTCCTATTCCTCCACAAACGGATAAAACTATTCATCGTTATATGAAATGTCACTCTTCAGGAATAAATACCAATTCTGAACAACACATCAATATGATAAATGATTCACAGTCATCTTTCTCAAGTTCACCTTCTAGTACATCGCCAAGTCTGTCGTCATCTAGTTCTTCTCGTTCATCCAGTTCCTTCAGTCAAACAGAACAGAATCATGATGAATCCAATCTAAATGTAAAATTATCTAGTAAAACAGAGTCAAGTTGTAAAGAATCTAACTGTTTGAACTTGAGAGAATCACCGGGAGACATTGTTCACCATAGTTTGAATTATTCAAATGACCGTTGTTTATGGATGAATCCTTCGTCTGAACAGCGTTCATCAAATGCAGCCGCTACGGCAGCAGCGGCTGCTGTTGTTGTCGCCGCAGCAGCCGCTGCATCCGTCCGATCTCGACCACCTAGCCTAAGCACTATTTCAGAAGAACCTTCCCACTCCAACTCAACTGTGAGTTTAAATCATACTACTCCACCAACTAGTGGAAATGGTTCTGCAAGTAGTAGTACTACTAGTAGTAGTAATAATAATAATGATAATAATGATAGTTATCTGAAAAATTTAGAAAATGAAACTGTTTCATTGAATCCTACTTCATCTTTTAATTCCGTTAATTCAATAGAAAACTACTTCGCACTAAAAAGCCTTCCACTCAATCTTGTCTCTTCAGTTGATCTTATCAGAATGAGCAGACTTTTGAATCCAAACATTTCTACTAATGAAATATGCGAAAGTTTATATAGCTCGATTGCATCTGCTTCCTCCGATACCCATACATCAGTAAAAGGTCGTCGAACTAACAAGAATAGAGAATTGGTCTTAGATCCGATTGTAGCCCGTACATTATTGGCAGCTGTAACAGCAACTAGTTATCAAACCGCACACAAATCAGCCGTAGATGTAGTACGCGAACAAACTGAAAATATGCCACCACCTTCGTATTCAAGTGTGGTTAACAGATCTCGTTCTGTTGGTCATGATAAACCCTCAGAAACCATACCAACTTCATCTCATCAACAAAAAGCTCATAAGCATTATAATATTCCTCCTACCCATGTATCAGATAATGAGATATCAGTTAATTCATTTGTGTGTAATTATGGAATTCCTGATCCTAATAATATTTTTCAACCTAATATTCGCACTACCTCATCATCATCGTCATCAAAAACCTTGAAAACTAATTATCAGCAATCAAGGAAAAAAAATTTATCCTTAGTATTTTCATCTTCTTCCGGTCATCTGCATCAAACTTCACCAATAAATACAAACTCAAGCTCTAAAATCTCACAGTTACCTCTTACTGGTCCAAATTCGTCAACTACACATTTAAATGTAAATATTCCACATTCATGTCGTCATAATCATAGACATTGTTGTTCTAGTTGTACAACTGCTCATTCTAGTTCAAGGTGATGATAATTATGATAGCAGCAACAATAATAATCAATACCTACACTCATCACTAAAGTGTCGCAGTGTTTAGTTGAATTCCTATTCGAATAGTCAAATTAAAATATCTCACAATATTTCACGTAAATAAATCCAATTGTAAATTTTCCGGTTATATGTATGCTTTTAACATATCTATCTATTTGTACTGCTGATTGTATGTAGATCGGTTTGCTTTTTTTATACTTTACTTGTCTTATACTTCTTCAAGTTATATATGCATTTTGTACAGATTTGTGTTTTATATAAACTGTTAAAGAAAATAATAGTATTGTTTGCTTTCTCCTTCGTAATACTTTGCCACTAGTTCTTATTTTCACATAGAATGTTTATTTTGACCAATACTGTTTTCAGCCCCGCCCCCGGTCGTTTTTATTCCTTATTTGAGCGCCAGGTTTTTCTGTTACCAAAAATGTCTAATTGAAATTTCTTTCTTCAACTAATTTACTTCTTTCTTGTATTTGTTACAGTTCATCTTGGAACTAACTTACTTAGTGTATATAGATGATTTAATGCTGGTGGTCGGTTAGGCTTGATTATCATTGTTTTGAAAATCTTTTCCAAATCATTTATTTGTTTTTCCTTGTGTCTCAATTTTTATGTTATTTCTTCCAAATTGAAATGGTTTCTTTTTCTCTTTCGAAATATTTTACTGAATGGTTTTCTAAATTATTGTATTTTATAAAACAAATAATGATTGACATACGTAAAACGGTATGTAGTTGATCTCATCTCTTAATTTTTGGTATTCACAATTAAGCCTGCTTTCCAATTATCCAACGTACTCTGTTTATGTATATGTATAAACATATATATATATCAAGGTTTTGTATAAAGTCAAGCTTTTCTACTTCTTATCTATGTAATCTTGATTTTTACATTCTCCTTAAAAAAAACCCTGGTGACTTGTGCAGTAATCTAATGTTCTTTTCATTTTCTTAGTAGTAGTAGTAACTTGTTATGGAACAATAAAGGAATAACTATTTTTCTTTTTGTCTTTTCTATAGCCGACTAATCTATCTTCGTTGTGTGTTCTCTTTTCTTTTCTTTTTTGTTTTGTTAACAACTCAGTTGATTTGATAACTTTCATTTCATTTTTTTTTCTAGATTTCTCTCCACTCCCCAGTCATACGTACAGACTGTTGTTACATTCTTTACGTGTGTTCTTTGTATTTAATCTGTTTTTGTTTTTTTTCAAATCTCATTTTCTGTAAACAGACAAGTGTTTTTTTATGTATGTACGTATGCATACATAGCTAACTAATGTTTATATTTATTTAACTAGGCATTTTATTTTATTCTGTTGTTTTTTTTCATATTACTGTATTTTTTCCCTAATTTAAACAAATTCACATGAATAAATATTCAGTATGTTATTTCTACATAAATAAATAATTTGGTAATTCTTTTGTTGTTTGTTTTATCCTCTTTGTTTAACTAAGGTTTATTTAACAGAATAGTGAAATAATAGTAGGTATTATTATTAGTAGTAGTAGTACCTAAAAAAAATTAAAAAGATTAGATTGGACTGGATTGTTAACTGTAAGCAGTAAACTGAATGCAGTCATCATCAGAGAAGCCTATCACCTGAAAATCGATGTAGAACACTGTTGGATTTGATGTTCATATTTCGAACATTTTTAATGACTGGATTTTACATCATTTTGGTTACTTCGACACTTTGATACTTCAAACGGTACTGTTGCCTAGACGTTTATGGCCTAACTCTAGATCAACTTTTACAAAGGCCAAATATTTGATTCTAGTTGAAAAACTAATTTATTATAGTTACACGCAGACGAATATCTCGGTTTAGTTGTGAGTGATGTTAGTTATCATTTCAACAACCACTACTACATCTGAATCAATGAGACTCCCATGTAAAACGAATTTTTCAACACACTCATCTGCTTTACCTATTGTAAAATTACGCATTCGATTGGGTCCTAGAACCTTGTTTTGTATTACTCTGCGAAGATACATATCGTACAATATTTTCAAATCGTCATGCAAGGTGTTCAGGAACTTCAGATGGATATATTATAATCATACTTTTGATGATGTAGTCTTGCACTAAGAGACCAATTCGTAAAAACCGGCAAAGGGAATATGCTGCTTGTATAAACATCTCTACGGTTTATTTCAACAGCTGCCTGATCGTATATTTTTGCCACTGGTTTCCTAATATTGCGAGAATAAGTTTTGGTAAATTTTTACTCACCTATTATGCATGTGATACATCCAAATAGGGGGTTTATAATCTTGTGTAATAATTATTGCTACATTCAACTGGAACCACCATATTGGCTGGTACGTACTTTGTTCGTTGACATTAGGTGATTTGATCGGGATTCACTGACTAAATACATGTTGCGAACATAAAATTAAGTTGGTTTAGAGTTAATCACTCAGAAAGAAACATATTTTTTTAATGGATATTGTACTGAAATTCGTATAAATATTGTAAGCCTGTGTTGAAAATCTTTTTTTTTTATTGGAGTCAGATTTTATTTATGAAAAGGATTAAGGAAATTGTTATTCACTGCTATTTTCACAACAATAATATCAGAATACATAACCATTTAGTATGTTCGAGTAAATCTACTCAAAGCAAAGTGTAACTACAGTTAAGGTAAGTGCGACTACCGCAAAACTTAAACTACAAACTAATCCTTAACTACTAAAAACAGTTGCTTCAATAGGTTTTTTTTTTCCACAAAGTTTTATCGCTTGCATTATTCCGTTCAGGTTATTTATGTATTATCATTCGTAAAAATCCCCGGGTAAATAATGTTTTTCTCATTTACACCTGTTAAGAAGCACTCTCCTTAACAAATCTGAACACTGACTAAATTCATCAATATTCCTATTTGTTTAAGACAATTGTTCTTGCTACACTTTTATAACTTTTAATCCTGTAACATTTATCAAACAGTTCGATCAGTTTGCGTTCTTTTTTTTTTCTTTTTTCCTGAAACCTCTTTTCAAATAACAGATTGGTAATTGATTGAAAAAAGAAAAAATAATAATAATAATAACAATCCTATTAATTTAATATACAAGTTTTCTAACTCTAAACTATTTCACCTTTAAATGCCATGTATGAAATTATATTAATATGGAAGATATTTTTTTTTGAACATTATAAGTTATATGTATTTCTGTTTGCTTTATTGTGTTGTTAGTCTCACTAACGATTAATCCCTCACGAAAAGCTTTTATGTTTCTATACATAATATTCCTTGGGAAAAATGTATTGTCATTAAATACCAATAAGTGAAAGTAAAAGCAGCCACGTGAAATGCATTATGATGATGAGGCTAGCGAAGAAAACTCCTAGCAAAATTAACACTATAACATATTACTTTCAAAAGATATATACTACTTAAGAAGTAACTTCTGTTTATGAAGTGACATTTGCAAACTTACTATTACCGTTGTACTTACTTACTTACTTACTTACTTACTTACGCCTGTTACCCCCAATGGAGCATAGGCCCCCGACCAGTTTTCTCCAACCAACTCTGTCCTGGGCTTCCTTCTCCAGTTCTGTCCAATGTTTGTTCATTCCTCTCATATCTTTCTCTATTTCTCGGCGTAATGTGTTCCTTGGCCTTCCTCTTTTCCTTCTGTCTTGAGGGTTCCATGCGACGTCTTGTCTTGTGACGCAGTTAGGTGCTTTCCGCAGTGTGTGTCCTATCCACTTCCACCGCTTCTTCCTGATTTCCTCCTCCACTGGGAGGAGTGATCATAATTTAATGTGAAAGGTTTCATGAAAGTCTTATTAATTCAGATGTATTAGTCGGTCGGGGAAATCTTGGAGATGAAATTAATTTTCAATGATAGCTAACTTATATTACACGCCATTGAATTGAGTTGTTTATATGACTATCGAACAATTTGTGCACCGTACAGTTGTTTGCTTTGTCTTACTTGAAAGGATTTACTTTGAAGGCACTCACAGTAAAAGACGTGTATAGATTGTTAGTATTCGATGCCCATGAAAATTTACTCAGAAACCAACAAGTAGCACCAAGACTAGGCGCATAGTTCAAGTAGAAATTTATGAGATGATTGGTGACCGTATGCAACTTCGATGAGGAACGTTGTTACGATATGTGTTACTCAAATAAGTTACCACTAAATCTGACTCACTTAGCTAGAAAGCTATGAGTGACAAAACGTACTCATAGATCGCTCTATGGACTGCTGCTCCTAAACACGTAGGGTGAAGGTGCTTGAAGCAAACAATTAGTAAATATAGACCTTAGATGATAGAGTACTGACTGTTATTATTGCTTCATCGTATGAGTATCCACATCTAAAGTTTTCTGACATTGTTAAAATGTCAAATATGATTTATTGAACAATTAAGTTTAATTCATAACTAGAATTATTTAAAATTAACGTAAACAAATTTGATAATACAACCCATTCAGACATAGGATTGTATACTAGACCATTTTGAATAAGTGAGAATGATGCACCAGTTCTAGTAGATGTTAATAACTTTAAACCTTCCCCACTGAAAGTCAATTAATTTGATCAGCGAATGATTGTCTTCACTGCATATTGTATCTGCTAGGCTATTTGATAAATTTGGATAATGGGATAAGAAAACGAAAGTTATCGGAATTATGGGATATGTTTCGAACAATTTAATCACACATATACTTGTTAAGATGTTATACATGAAAATTTAGAAGGTCAGCTGGATAAATTACAAGATTACACAAAGAATAATAATAAAGTAAACAATGTTATCATTACTAAATAATTTGTTGTTTGACATCTTTGAAAAGAGGATTTCATTATTGAATACTTCTAATCAACTTGTTATCCGTAAAAGAATTTTCAAAGCTTTGACTTCATGATGATAAGAACTTTTCAGAATCTTGAATGTAAAAAGCTATAGAAAGATATCCAAGAAAACAAGAAATTTAATAAGGAATTTTACTTATAATTTAATCCAAATCTAAAATAATCAATATGCACATTAAAATGTCGTTCACGTCTCTATACGGATGAACAATTTTCATGTTCTAAAATATGAATGAATTTTTAGTTTGGAGTTTGTGGAGATTGTTGAAGTCGAATGCCATCACAAAACGACCTTAGTTATGCATCAATTGTAAACATTAAAACACTAGACAGTTACCTCCTCCTACTGTAGAACTGCTCAGCAGTGCGTAACCTCGATCCCATCACTGAGGATCTAACCCAGAACATTAGGTTTCATGCACGAACATCATAAGATCTCGGTTCAGCAGTCTAGAGTTTAGGAGTCTCTGTGAGAGAACAGATGTCCTGGATTATATCTGAAATGGCGCGGTCATGTATGTACTCTACTGAAGAGTTGCAAACTAGGACCTAATAGCCATCTAGTGCTTCTAAGTTCAAATAGTTGACCCGTTAAGATCAATCTATGGTCTGAATAACATGTAAACCTCATTGACTTACCTTAGTTTATCAACTATCTTCAATTAGATCTCACAAAAATTATTTTCATCCTTCTTATTGTTAAACCTTGAAAGTTATTAGATATTTGTACTCAAAGTATTGTTCAATGTTTTCGTTCAAAATAATTCGAAATAGGATTACATAGTCCACTTCTTGTGTTATTACTTTGATGAATATAAAAAATACATAGTCGGCAGCACTTTGCCCTTAAAGAAACACTATGAGATTCATGGATGATTATGTTTTAAGTGTATATGTGACTGAAATACATTAACTTATTTGTGTTTCAATGAATATTTGTTCACTTGACGGCAAATTATCAAAAAATAATACACATGTGCATTTCCAGAGCATAAAAAGCATAATTAGATAAGTCATTTAATAAGACATGGTTATTTCGTCCAGTGCTTCCTAGTTCACAACGGTTGGCTAACTGAAATCGATTTCTGGTCTCAATAAAATTCAATAATCTTTACCAGTAAATATTCAGTATCTAATCCCTGACTTAATATTTATGTGCTAAAATACTACTGATAACCTCATAATGGTGGAGCCCATAAGACTTCCACGGAAATTTGTGATATATTAAGGCACGTTTTGTTTAAAAAGACTGTAAAATACAAAATTATCTCATTTTGTTATTTTTGTACCACTGTCCCAAAAGTGTCGTTGAATTTCATTCAGCTTTAGACGTTTTTCCAGCAGATTGTAATGAATATTAGTGCTACCGTTTCTCTAACCAACACACTGATGAACTGTCAGTCTAACTGAATAACCTCACAGTTAAATAAACTAAAACTATCATGATAGTTTATTTAATCAACCATGCATTTAATCATATATCAATTTGAATTTATTTATGATAGATAGAATACAAATAACCTTTTAATGATTCATAGATGAGTTATCTTATTTCACTTATTCAAAAGATTTATTAAGACGCCAA